GTATTCCTCGCGACCACATTGTTATTAAATAATTTTGGTAAAAAATTCAGTGAGGAGCATTAGATGTATTTTGAGTTGTTAAAAAATCTCTATGAATAATTATTTGGAAAAGGATTCACTATTGTTACGGATGATTAAGCTTTAAAATCCGCTAAACAACCTGGGAAATTATTAGCAAGTTCATCATGATGCTGTGGTTCAACTACGATTTACTTCTTTTGGTGGTTATAGAGATGCTATTCAGTGTAGAAGACCTCAACAAATCTTGTATGTAAACTTTATATATCGATAGTCATTACAAGATAAACCAGCCGATGTTTCAGATTTCTTACAAATGCAGACTTTATCAGCAAGTCGTTCTGATCTTGCTTGAGAAATTCGTTGGCACATCGGATGTATACTAAGCGCCAGGCGAAAAGGTTAGAAGGTTTGCCAAGCGAGACTAATGAATCGCTACTTCTGCGGATATTTGATGATTAAATAATCTTACCTCTATCTCACAGTATATAAATGAGTACTTGACTACGTCTGTAAAAGAAACCCGAATGTTGAGAAAATAAAGTTTTCAGTAAGGCTCAAAAACTTCATAAAGATCATTTCGGCCTATTTCTCAGAGAATGTTATGCGATTTTGCCACTGATTCTGATCAGCAAACATTTACGGTGAGAGCAATGGCTTCGACCCATCCATGTTTGTGGGGTAGAACGGTTTGTTTTTATTAGGCTCTTCGTGGTTGAAAACGAAGCAATCAATGAGTGATACCGAGGTTAATCTCCTACGCTCATTATTCATACTCATGTTATAGCTATTCTACTAAGACAACCTATAAAGTACCAACCTGGACTTTTCCATTAGGACTCAGTGGTTGGCATCAGATAAAAAAGAAAACTAAAAACAGTTCAGATAATAAAAGATATAGCTATTAGTGTTTCTCAACAGTTTGTTCTACCGATGAACTTTCAATTCCAATGAATGGCTTTCTTTATTCTAACTTTAACTTCTCTTCCGTCATTTGAACTTACTACACCTTGTTAAATATCACAACGCATTGTTTTTTATTACTGCATCCTCTTATCTAGAGGTTCTAATCACATTTTACTCGAGCGATAGGAGCTAGTACGAGTTCATTCTATCAGTTTATCATACCTCTGTCAATTGCACTACAAACTATCAAGTATTGTCTAGCGTTTAGTCCAAGTACCTTGCTGCTCATTTGTTGCTCCTTTATTCCAGCATCATGCTCCCAGGGCATAGCTATAGAAGTTCTGATGCCTGGAAGAGTCGTGTCGTGTGTGCTTTCTCAAGGTCACAGCCCATAACAAGCGCTCTATAAATTTGCTTTATAAAAAATATAACAAATAAAAGTTGTATTGCATCTGTACTTAGCATAACTGGAATTCCAACACGGTAATGCCGAGTATAAACCTTGTGTCAACGTTGCCGCGTTACCATTTGGGAAAAATATTTTAATAACTGCATTCCGTGCAATGCTAAACCATACGGCGAACCATTAACTCTCTGGCACATCTGCATGAATGTACTTTCTTCTATTTTATTTCATTCCATTTATTTAACAACTCCACTTGGGAAGCATACCATGCGCAACCCAATGTTTTAACCTATACATTATGCCTGCGAAAGTGATGTGTACTTGCCTTTACTTACCTACTTGCGCCTGTTTCTCCCGATGGAGCGTAGACCATCAACCAACATTCTCCAACCCAATCTGTCTCGGGCCTTCCCTTCTAGTTCTATCCAATTGTTGTTCATTTTTCTCATGTCTGTCTCCATCTCTCGACATAATGCGTTCTTTGATCTTCCTCTTTTCATTTCACCTTGAGGATTCTACGGGAGGGCTTGCTTTGTGATGCAGTTGTGTGTTTTCTTCAATGTGTGTCTTATCCATTTCTAGAGCATCTTTCTCTCCCATAGTAGGTTGTTGGTGATAGTGTCTGGCAAACAAATCCGAAGTATTTTGAGTAGAAAGCTATCAATAAACACTTGTCTCTTCTGGATGGTGATTTTCGTAGTTCTCCAGGTTTCCGCCCAACACAGTAGAACTGTCTTGACATTTGTGTATGTACTTGCCCTGGCAGAAATATATTGTTGTTATAACTCATCCCTTCACATCATGCTGACTTCACAATTTGAACATCAAGAAGTCAAGAAGCACTGAATGTTTAGTTCAGAAGTTCCTGTGATATTGGTAGCTGATAATGGTTTGTATTTTGAGGCAGATTTAGTTACCATCTATTCAAACCGTATATGGTTGAGTGACCATTTTGCTGCACATAGGCAGCCTTGCTCTAGTGGTTGGGCAGAAAAATCAATCAGAATATCGACATTTGTCATCAAATCTTTCTGAAACATCCATATAAACTGGGAAAGTGAGTAGAGGCCCTCTCACTCCAGTACATAAATATTATTATGATAATTAAAAGTAGTCAAATTAACGTGCCCACTTAAAGTTTTCGAAATAGCGCAATTTTAGACAGGTAGAACTAGACAGGCACAAATGAACATGTTGTATTCGTGGTTCGCAATCAGCGGGCAGCAGCGGCACAAAGGAATTAGTAGTTCGTACAAATACCAAAACTATACACTCTCTAACAGAATGAACCCCGTTAAAATTACTGCGAGAAAGGATTTTTCTTATCAACATGAAATGCCCAGAACTGTAGAAATTACATATTGTAATGAGAATGAGCGTTGGTTGTCTGTGGGGATTTCAGCTAAAAATACAGGAAGGTCTGTGGTGCGAATCCAAGTTAGCGATGATTTGCATCAGCACAAATTACTCATTTACCAAATACAGTTTCAGAAATCAGGTGAGTTTTTTCCTATTTACTTAAGTGATGTTATTCATTCTAGCGCTAATGAGTGAATTCGAGATAGCACAGTGTCTATATACAATAACTTGTTGGATTACTGATGAAAACTGTTGGTGAATGTTTTTCGGGGGTCGTACTCATATTATAAACGCGGAAAATTTCAACGAATAGTTTGTAACTAGTGAATCTAACGGTAGACTTGCAAAACGGGTATAGTGTGTACTTTTTGCGAGTGCGACTTAAAACTTTATATAGACTGACTTCACCTTTTCTTCTGTGTTTACTGTTACATGGAAACTGAAAACATTTGTCTCATTAGAAACTTTCATACTGAATATTGACGATTTCACTGTGTTTTGGATGTATTAGTTTTGCTCAGACTCTGAACTTGTTTGTTTATATCTTTAAATTAGGATATTTTGGTTCTCCTCTGTTTTTGGTTTGGTATTTGGAAGTTTTTGCTCCTGAAACCTTAAAAATTGAAGGTTTTTTGTGATCTTTTTAGTTATTAATTGAACGACATTTGGGTCGGCTATTTATAAATTGCGAATAAACTTTAGCACCGAACTTGAAGCTTGGTTCTATTGGTAGTTTGGGTTAGTAAGTTGCAAATAGATCGATTCAGCGTACTTCAATTACCGAAGAGAGTAAAAACGTGGTCGCAACCTTTACAATACTTTTTCTTTGTCCATTTATCAAATGAAATATTTCACAAACTTCTTTGTGGTCGCCTGTGGGATATATTATGATAATTGGAACACGTTTCATCGCAAATTGTGCACTTCCGTCACATTGGCTGCATTTCAGGGGTGTTGCAAGCTATAGTCACTCTGACTATGCGAACATGCTGATGAATATAGCTAAGTTGCTACTCATATATAAGCACTACAGTGTCATGTATATTCAGTGATTTTGGTAAGGACAAAATAAAGACCACATTTTCTCTTTATTTGTGTAACCACATTTATATCCAATGCTTACTGTTTATGTGTATCAATATAAAACAGGCATATTCGATTGGCTAGTTAATACTCACGCTTCGGTTAATATTAAAAAAACGCTCTCTCTCATCTACTCTGTTTTATTAGCTCCGGCCTGTGTTTGAAGATTACAATAATGTTATGGCATCATTTTAGGTCATTCTATACTACGTCGGAATTTCGGACAGTAATATTTTTGGTGCACCTTCGAATTTATGCGTCGCGTCACACCTTCAGTCCCTTCACGTCCAGAAGAACGCACGTGTAGTTATTATTCTAGTAGCATTCACTTCATAGTAATTGCGATCGCGTTGTTATTTTATATACTATTTTGTTGTGATTGCTATTTGTTACCGTATTGCTCTATTCATAAACAGACACTTAGACGCGTAGTGTCGGTATTTTTGTACGTATAAATATATCTTCATCAAGCACTTTTACTGAGGTCAACCACAGCACCCAGCTGTAAATGACGTGATGTGAGTGTCAGATTTCGAGAACGTAAATGTGCATAATAATAAACCGAGCGTCAGGTCTGAATAATGACATCACAGTAGACCCACGAAACTGGGGAAAAAATATACACACAGATTCTAAGAAAGTAACAAGCGGACAAAAAGAAAACAATTTACAAGAGGTTTTGAAAAATATGAATCTACATATATTTTTTCAAAACACTGCAACACAGCTTAAAAATTCATATCGGCACCTAACCTGCTCGTTGTGGAAGGTTTGGCTGAGAAACAAAACGAAGTCAGGTTAACTGAAGAAAACAATTTCAAATCTTCAGTTCAGTTAACACAAGGACGAGCGAATGGAGAACAAAAGGTATGTGTGTAACAGTGTATTTGTTAGTACGTAGCAGCGTGTCATGCTAAGAGAATAGCACAACGGAAGAAAGTGTATTCTAGGTCATACAATTAAATAACACGTACAATGGTTTATTGATAAATGTACAGGCTATTAAAAACTAACAGAATATATACAAATAACATCAAAAACTATTTACAAAATAAGCTTGTCATGTATATCTACACACACTCATCAACAGTTTTCATCAGTAATCTTTGACGAATTCTTTAGTACATCACTTGTTTATGAAAGATTATCGGAGTAAAAGTAGCGTTTTTCCGAATCACTCTTTTAAATGAAGTAATTATTGACCTACAGATTGTCGCGATGTTTGGTTTCTTACGTCTGAAGGTCGTGCCTGTGGCGGCTTGTGAAGGGTCGCGGGGGCTTGTTTCACAACCGTGACAGGTACTTTGCCATTCTCCCCACGTAAAGCCATTTTATTATTCTGCTCGCTTCTTTCTGTTTGTTCCTAATTAATGACATTAATTCCTCTGAAAAATTATTCTCACATCATTCGCCAGGTGTGTTAGCTAACGCATATTTTCTCGTTAATTTCATATTTTCTGGCTTGTCGTTGCTATCAAAGATTCCTTCATTCTCTTGATTTTAGTATAGTTATTTCCTCGGTTTTTTTGAAACCTACTTTGGAACATCGATCCCGATCTCCGTACTCCGTGGACGCCTTAATAGAAAATTCTGAGGAATTGACACAAAAACCTCAAAATTTCCTCAGATTTGAGTATTTCCTCAAAACAGGGGTTAGTTGTGAAGATCTTCGTGTTTAATCATCATTGTGGCTTCTGATGATATGTGTATTTAATAATTTTTGTAGACACAAAATAAATACCGTATCTTTCCTTCGATTGTAGATCCCAGATTCAGATTTGTGTAGTGAGGACAGAAGACCTACATCCTACGTTATTCCTTTTCTAGTATGCTTCTGTGAGTGTCCAGCCTTTTGTTAAACGAGTCAACGTCAGATGTATCAGATAATGGAGTTTAGTTGACTGGTATTTTAACCAGTAGGACTGATAGATTAAACAGTAGAAGAGGCGGGGTTATCCTGTGCACGAATAGTACCCTAACCATAAGAGAGATTCAGGGACATGTGTACTGGCGAGATGTAAGCCGAAATGTAAATGGCAAGATATTGGATTAGTTGTAGTATATCGCAGTTCAGAATGTGCAGTAGATGATTTTCTCTTAAGTAAACTTAAGTCCTGGTTTAACAAGGGTAAAAGTCTTGTAGTAGTCGACTTTAGTACACAGCATATAAGCTAGGATAACTTAGAAGTAAGGTCATCGATAACGTCGTTCGATTGCAAACTATAAGAAACCTCGATTGGATTAGCTTTATTCCAACACATCAGAAACACCACAAGATATGACTTAACAAACTCTTATACTCTTTTAGATTTAGTCTTCACACAAGGTGATGACGTTGGTCAAATGACTTTTCTCAAACCACTTGTGAGAAGTGACCATGCAGTCATCTTATTCGAATTCATGACTGAGATTTACTGTCAAACAGTTGCACCGGCCCGTCCTAATTTATGGAAGACAGATATAAAGGCAACCAACTCCGCAGCATCGACTGAAAACTGAGAAATTGATTCAAGGGCATCAGTACAAGAGGCATGGACTATTTTCTGGCAGTTATACAATCGGATAACTCAACCATACATACCCTGGACAGTTCCAAAGAAGAAGCACGACCGTCTCTGGATAGGCCGGGATATTCGACGTCTACTAAGACAAAAGAAGAAATGTTGGGATGTTGTCATCCGCCTTGGTACAACAGGTACGATGGAACGCTACAGATCGGTAAGAAACAAGTGTATAACGAAAATTCGGGAACCTCAAAGAAAATATGAAACGCATTTGGCACAATCTGCACTCAAGCAGCCCAAGAGAATATTCTCGTACATAAACTACAGAACAAGGATGCATTATTGGATTCCCAACTTAATTAAAGAAGGGACTGAATCTGAAATGATAGAGGAAGATCAGGAAGAAGCAGAGGCTATGGCTATTTTGGAGCAGTTTTCACTCAGGAACCTCCTCTAGACAAAGAACCAGACCAAAATAAAGAGTCAACAAACCACCTGCTCACCGTGAACTTCGACCAAGACGATGTGCTTAAGGCTCTTATCACCTTAAACATGGAAAAGTCAACAGGACCAGATGAATTACACTCCAAAATCTTGAGACATATTACACAATATATCGCGGCCCCATTGACTGTGATATTCAATATGTCACTTGACCAAGGTGTGTTACCTATGGACTGGAAGGACGCAATCGTCACTCCCATACATAAAACAGGACCAAGACAGGTTCCATCGAAATACAGACCTGTAAGCCTCACCAGTGTTGTAGTTAAAATATTGGAAAGAATAGTCAAACGAACCATAATGGCATTTACGGAAACCAATAACTTGCTAAACATAGAACAACATGGTTTTAGAAAGGGTCTATCTTGCACGACGAACCTCCGTATAGCAAGGGAATCTTGGATAAAGGCGCTAGACAACGGAAACTCAGTGGATGTTGTCTACATAGACTTCAGTAAGGCTTTTGACAAGGTGCCAACTAATAAACTGCTATCGAAATTGGAAAACCTTGGTATTGCCGGACCTCTTTTAAAATGGATTAAGGATTTCCTAGTAGGTCGTAGACAGAAAGTAAGAATAAATTTCAAGTGCTCCATCTGGAGACCAGTACTTAGTGGAGTACCTCAAGGTTCCGTTCTAGGTCCTTTGCTTTTTATAATATATGTTAATGATCTTCCAAGTATAGTACAGTCTCCAATGTTATTATACGCTGACAATGTAAAGATCTGGCGAGTAATAACTGGAGACACAGACACGTGTGCTCTTCAGGCAGACTTAAATAATATGATTAACTGGTCTAAAGAGTGGCTGATGCCTATCAACGCGGAAAAGTGTATCTACATGCGAACACCACTGCTTCAGGCAGCAGGTTCCAAGTATTGATGACGCGGTGTGAAAACCTGTATGCCACTGGTATTTTGTTCGTTCTTGGCTTTTCTACTCGCCTGCTATGTCCTCTAAGGTGTCCTGATCTAGTTTGGGATGTTCACCCCCAACTCAATGTGGACGGTCATTGGGACTTCTTACTGCACACGCTCTTACGTGCTACAAACCATTCAGTTCCTCAAACGGTTCCCAAAAGCTGCAAGCCACCTTCAATTATCAAGAACTGTACCCTTCGCCTGCTAAACCGCGAAAGGCACTGTTGGGCGGAATGCAGACGAACTGACAACGACGGAGCGTACAGGTAATATAAACATATCAGGAACATATGCATGAAGGCTATAAGAGGAGACAGGCTTCAGTACTAGACAAGGCTTATGGACAAATTTACCTCTAATCCTACGAGCTTATTCCGTTATGCAGCCTCTTTTCGTCAAGCCAAAACTGGAGTTCCACAATAGCTAGGTCTTAACGGCCCGACCAACAACGACGGCGACGCAGCTAACCTTCTGGCTGAACATTACTCCCAGACATTTCAACCGACCGACATCAACTTTACTGATGACAGTTTCATCTGCAATTTTACAGGACTTTCCGAAATGAACCTAAGCGCTGGCTTAGTGTTTCGGAAATTGCAGCACTTAAGATTAGACACTTCTTCCATTGGTTTGATTTTCGTTCCTATTTATTTTCGTTCCTATTTATTTAGACACTTCTCCTGGCCCGGAAATGGTCCATTCTGCCATACTGAGGGAAGCAGCCTCAATCCTGGCCACGCCGCTTAGCGTGATGTTCTTACACTCGCTAAGCTGAGGAAAACTACCGGAAACTTTGGGGCTGGTTCACATCACACCAATTTTCAAAGGAGGTCGACGCAATGAACCTTCAAGTTATCGGCCGGTGGCTCTTCTGTCATTACCTTCAAAACTCATGGAGTCCCTGATATGCGACGGTTTAAACGACTATCTACTGTCCTTAAATTTCTTCTCACCCCAACAGCATGGTTTCAAGAGGGGCTACTCTTATGTAACCAACCTACTGACTGCGGTGGACAGATTGACAAGCATCCTCGATCGCAAGGGGAATGTCGATATCATCTACCTATATTTCTCAAAAGCTTTTGATAAGGTTAACCATACATGTCTTATCAATAAGCTCAAGCGATTGGGTATCAGACCACCTATAATCGATTGGCCCACTTCATACCTGAAAAATCGACATTTTAAGGTCAGGGTAATTTCACTTTCTCTCAGACTATGGAATGTCCTAGTGGGGTTCCCCAGCGTTCAGTACCAGGACCTCTTCTCTTCTTGATCTACATAAATGATTTTCATCAACAGGTAACGTCTGAATTATTACCCTTTGCTGATGATGTTAAACTTTAGAGAGAGATACGTAATCAAGACGATATACAAGAACTTCAGGAGGATCTGACTCGACTCCAAAGTTGGGCAGATAATAATACACTTACTTTTAGCACTTTAAAGTGTAAAGTAGTCCATGTCGCAGATTACAGTTTAACTTAACGAACTCCTCTCTAGTGGCATCCCAAGTCGAAAAAGATTTAGGAGTCCAGGTGCATCGCGATTTTAAATCTTACGCTAACTGTGACAAAAATACCTTTCGAGCAAACTTTGCACTGGTAACGTTGGAGCGCATTTTTGGACAGTTTGACGGAAGAACTTTCCATATAATCTTCAATAGTTTCATCCGTCCCCATTTAGAGTACGGAAACATAGTACTTCCCCCCTCACTCCAAAAGGATTAGGACACTTTGGAGCGTAGCCAACAGTGAGCCACGAAATCAGTTCGAGGACTCAAATTTAAACTTTACGAAGAAAAGAAATATAGGTAGATGATATCGACATTCCCCTTGCGATCGAGGATGCTTGTCAATCTGTCCACCGCAGTCAGTAGGTTGGTTACATAAGAGTAGCCCCTCTTGAAACCATGCTGTTGGGGTGAGAAGAAATTTAAGGACAGTAGATAGTCGTTTAAACCGTCGCATATCAGGGACTCCATGAGTTTTGAAGGTAATGACAGAAGAGCCACCGGCCGATAACTTGAAGGTTCATTGCGTCGACCTCCTTTGAAAATTGGTGTGATGTGAACCAGCCCCAAAGTTTCCGGTAGTTTTCCTCAGCTTAGCGAGTGTAAGAACATCACGCTAAGCGGCGTGGCCAGGATTGAGGCTGCTTCCCTCAGTATGGCAGAATGGACCATTTCCGGGCCAGGAGAAGTGTCTAAATAAATAGGAACGAAAATAAATAGGAACGAAAATCAAACCAATGGAAGAAGTGTCTAATCTTAAGTGCTGCAATTTCCGAAACACTAAGCCAGCGCTTAGGTTCATTTCGGAAAGTCCTGTAAAATTGCAGATGAAACTGTCATCAGTAAAGTTGATGTCGGTCGGTTGAAATGTCTGGGAGTAATGTTCAGCCAGAAGGTTAGCTGCGTCGCCGTCGTTGTTGGTCGGGCCGTTAAGACCTAGCTATTGTGGAACTCCAGTTTTGGCTTGACGAAAAGAGGCTGCATAACGGAATAAGCTCGTAGGATTAGAGGTAAATTTGTCCATAAGCCTTGTCTAGTACTGAAGCCTGTCTCCTCTTATAGCCTTCATGCATATGTTCCTGATATGTTTATATTACCTGTACGCTCCGTCGTTGTCAGTTCGTCTGCATTCCGCCCAACAGTGCCTTTCGCGGTTTAGCAGGCGAAGGGTACAGTTCTTGATAATTGAAGGTGGCTTGCAGCTTTTGGGAACCGTTTGAGGAACTGAATGGTTTGTAGCACGTAAGAGCGTGTGCAGTAAGAAGTCCCAATGACCGTCCACATTGAGTTGGGGGTGAACATCCCAAACTAGATCAGGACACCTTAGAGGACATAGCAGGCGAGTAGAAAAGCCAAGAACGAACAAAATACCAGTGGCATACAGGTTTTCACACCGCGTCATCAATACTTGGAACCTGCTGCCTGAAGCAGTGGTGTTCGCATGTAGATACACTTTTCCGCGTTGATAGGCATCAGCCACTCTTTAGACCAGTTAATCATATTATTTAAGTCTGCCTGAAGAGCACACGTGTCTGTGTCTCCAGTTATTACTCGCCAGATCTTTACATTGTCAGCGTATAATAACATTGGAGACTGTACTATACTTGGAAGATCATTAACATATATTATAAAAAGCAAAGGACCTAGAACGGAACCTTGAGGTACTCCACTAAGTACTGGTCTCCAGATGGAGCACTTGAAATTTATTCTTACTTTCTGTCTACGACCTACTAGGAAATCCTTAATCCATTTTAAAAGAGGTCCGGCAATACCAAGGTTTTCCAATTTCGATAGCAGTTTATTAGTTGGCACCTTGTCAAAAGCCTTACTGAAGTCTATGTAGACAACATCCACTGAGTTTCCGTTGTCTAGCGCCTTTATCCAAGATTCCCTTGCTATACGGAGGTTCGTCGTGCAAGATAGACCCTTTCTAAAACCATGTTGTTCTATGTTTAGCAAGTTATTGGTTTCCGTAAATGCCATTATGGTTCGTTTGACTATTCTTTCCAATATTTTAACTACAACACTGGTGAGGCTTACAGGTCTGTATTTCGATGGAACCTGTCTTGGTCCTGTTTTATGTATGGGAGTGACGATTGCGTCCTTCCAGTCCATAGGTAACACACCTTGGTCAAGTGACATATTGAATATCACAGTCAATGGGGCCGCGATATATTGTGTAATATGTCTCAAGATTTTGGAGTGTAATTCATCTGGTCCTGTTGACTTTTCCATGTTTAAGGTGATAAGAGCCTTAAGCACATCGTCTTGGTCGAAGTTCACGGTGAGCAGGTGGTTTGTTGACTCTTTATTTTGGTCTGGTTCTTTGTCTAGAGGAGGTTCCTGAGTGAAAACTGCTCCAAAATAGCCATAGCCTCTGCTTCTTCCTGATCTTCCTCTATCATTTCAGATTCAGTCCCTTCTTTAATTAAGTTGGGAATCCAATAATGCATCCTTGTTCTGTAGTTTATGTACGAGAATATTCTCTTGGGCTGCTTGAGTGCAGATTGTGCCAAATGCGTTTCATATTTTCTTTGAGGTTCCCGAATTTTCGTTATACACTTGTTTCTTACCGATCTGTAGCGTTCCATCGTACCTGTTGTACCAAGGCGGATGACAACATCCCAACATTTCTTCTTTTGTCTTAGTAGACGTCGAATATCCCGGCCTATCCAGAGACGGTCGTGCTTCTTCTTTGGAACTGTCCAGGGTATGTATGGTTGAGTTATCCGATTGTATAACTGCCAGAAAATAGTCCATGCCTCTTGTACTGATGCCCTTGAATCAATTTCTCAGTTTTCAGTCGATGCTGCGGAGTTGGTTGCCTTTATATCTGTCTTCCATAAATTAGGACGGGCCGGTGCAACTTTTTGACAGACGTATTTTCAGTAAAATCAAGGTTGGTTATTCGCTCTATCTAGTTACACGAAGTTGCTCCATCAGCGAACTTTTAAATTGTCTGTAGAATCGCTTTTCCTGTTAGTTTGCTGCTGGTTGGCATGTTGTCTTACTGTTCTATTGGGAACTTGCTTGAAACTGAAGACTTCTATCAAAAGTAATTGTAGAAGTTCTGTTGCAATTAGAGACCCGTCTTTCTAGAAATATGGTAGCTATGTTTTCGGCTAAGATGTTGTTTACAGAATATACGTTTGAACGCCTGGTAAAATGATTAACTTCTGTGAAAACATAAAACCATCAGGCGGGCCTAACGAATCGACCAAATCAATATAAACATGTTGAAAACGTCCTTCCGTTGCGTCGAATTTGGCGTTTTTAGTGATCGTATGTTCGTAAATCGTATTCCGTTTGTATTCCAAGTAGTTCTGAGTCATTTAAAAAAAAACATGGGTCCCCATTTTTGTCTATGCAAATCTTCCTGAAATCAAATTCAAGGTGGCACAATTACCGGGGTGAGATGATGGTCAAAGACATGTTTTCTATGAGCTGTTGGTAAAAATGGCCTGTTTGTTCCAGTTGAGATGTCACATTACTGTAAATTCAAGATGCGGCAATGGAATACTGCTAAATATTAAAATTAAATTTTGCTTACAGGCGGCGAGATCAGTATCGTTAGCCACTAAACTCAGTATGTTCGGTTCCTCTGTTCAAGATGATAGCACCCACGTTCCGGCGTGATTATACATCTGCAACAACATTCCATTCACTTTTTATAAACTGAATATTAGTCGAAGACTGAGAAATATCTAATTTTTGCTGTTGTCTAGGGAAATAATGATCACTTTTGGCGTTATAGGCATATATCAAAGGCTTGTGATGTGTAACCATCACGGAATCTCCGCCCTCAAGTAGATGGTTTAAGTGTTTAACTGCTAAAAATCGGTTAATAGTCCTCTCTCGAAAGTGATATATTACGTTATAGCGAATACCTAACCTTTATCTTACTGAATATACGTTCTACGATCAAATCAAAGATATGGTCTTTATTTTGTACTTACAAACTACTAAATACACATATCATTATGGTCTATTTGAGACCACTAAAGCCTTAGCCTTGGTGAAACATTTATTCTACCAAAGTTTATGTTTCCACGTACAGGGGAGTAGGAAATATGAATAGAAATGAATAAGGATTTTATGCATTATATTTGTATGATATTTCGCATCTTTTTGAGTATTGATGATCATTTCAGTTTTTAGATAAACATCTTGGTCAGTGTATATTCTCTAATTCAAATGATAACCAGTAAACAATATGAACTTCACTAGCAGTTTCTGTATGATCAGAAAATAAACTATTAAATTCAAAAAACTGTTATTCAGTCTTCATGAGCACTTGGCAACGTTGGGTGTTCTTATTCACCTTATCGGCTCTTCTGGCGTCATTTCTCGCAAATACAATATTTTTCTGTCTTTTTAACTTATACAACCAAGACATTTACGTCAGAAATAGCATTAAGAAGGTGTCTGTTCATGCTGAGAACGTTCTTCCTGAAGACCAATGGTTAGAATTTTTGTATAAGAAGACTCATGTAAAGTTCTCACATGGTATAAGTATTAAAGAGGCGTGCCGTATGGATAACTGCTTCGATTACACACTGTGTCAATCGGAATTTAAGGTAAGTGGAAGCACAATATTTAGTTTTTATAATCATACTTCTTTATATTCTAACGTTATCTTGTTAGTATACAGTTTTAATCATTTATGTCTTGCACCTAGACAGTATAGTGTCCGTTATTTTAAATTTGTCTGAAGGGTTAAAACTTATTTATTTATTGTAATGCTACTTCATATCACTACTTTCCAATTCTGTCTTATGTTAAATCACACATTAATTAAGGAAAACATAGTTAAATTTCAATGCACGCTCATTTTTCGGCATGCAACCCTATTCCTGTAATCGCTGGTGTATTTTCAAGCTCTTAGACCGAAAACGTTTTTGTTCGTTATTTTCTAAGTCTTCTGAGCAAAAACTTTGTACTGTAGAGCCATCAAAAATAGATTACATAGAACAGTATGACAACATTTTCAGCAAGTCACTCATTAAATGGATTGAAGAATATTTAACAAGTGAAAGCATTTACATAAGACAATTTTAGAACGGCTTTTGCTGTTGCCTTTTGATTTTACAGAAAACAGTATCAAGACTTCTCTTGTCTTCGATTTTGATTAACTCCTGTCGAAATGTCAAACCACTGAGTCACACATTCTGTAGAACCCTATACACAGAGTCTTAGTACGTAGACAAATACCAACCAGACATTACACTTTCCATACTAATACACAGTGATGATGATCAAAAATCGTCAACTCGAAGAGGTCAGGGTGAAGCAAAATAGAATGGATTGAAGCGTTACATGCCTGCTCTTTTTATAAACAGGCTATTACCGTAGTGACACAAAACATGGCTTATGATCTGTCATATGAGAACTACTTTCGTTTGCCACATCTTCATCCGTGCTCACAAAAGCTAATTGTTGTGGATGCTAATTCTCCAATTATACCGTAGTAATAGGAGATTTTGCATTGTCTGAAATATGATTTTTATGTAGTTGACTTTTCCATAAACCCAGTGCGAGTTTTGTTCATTTGATTTTTGAATTAATCCAGTATAATTTTCGCTTTTTACAACATTAATTTGTATCAATTAATCCAACGTAGCCTTTCGTTCACTTGCATTTTGCTTAGTATAATATTTAGTTATATTAAATTCTTGTGAATATTGTTCAGTTTAATTATTTCTTTTACTAATCACTGAATGTAATTGGTTTGTAATCGAATGCTCTCAAATGAGAGTTCATTCTGCTTGGGTCTCTATCGTTTGAGCTTCTAGACAAGCTTAAACTTCTATCTCTAACTAGTGACAACGGAGGAAGAGAATAGAAGCAACCTCGTTCATTGTAACTGAAGTAGAATTTTATTCAGTTAGTCGTCATCAACGTGGAGAGTTGTAAAAATGTGTGTTGCCCCAAGTCTCCGTATCACGTTGCTACGACGAGGTAAAAGTAACGAGATGTATAGCAAAAGAGATCGGAATAATGTGGTAGCATTAATAATGGAAAAGATTGACCATTCAAAATATAGCTCGAAAGGAAGGATTGAAAAGGTATGTATCAACGTGTACTGGAGTTCAAGATAAAGAGCGAATTCAACTGTGCTATTGTGAAGGGTTCTCAGCCATGTCAGCCAAAATCTTCAGCCACTGGTTGCGACCATCACACAGACTCCAATTGGGTGGTCTGCATCTACTAACATGGCTCAAATCCACAGTCAATAACTTCACGAACTTGTGAAACGTTTTGTTTTGTTCGCCTATAGCTTTCGTTCGACCCACTCCTACACTAACCAAGATCGTCCATCGACGTAGACGATAGTTAGACATACGTAATATATATCCTAAACATCTTATTCGATGAGAACGTAACCTCACTAACCGGTTTACTATCTTTTCCTAATACCCTTGTAGTGTTCAGTACTATGTTAAGCTTACATGGGTTATTCCAGCTTCCGGATAGACCAGTTCATTTACTGTTCTTAAGTTACATTTTGATCTTGTTAATTATTCGCTTATTATCATTGACTGTCTTTATTTGACAGCATATGTGTATTGCTTACCATATTCATCGCGTGTCTGTAACTTGTTTTTGTCTGACTCTAAATGTTGAGTGTCCCTTTATCAAAATGAGTTGGCTCACTCGCCTTCCCCTCCTCGTTTCTTTTATTGTCTATGTGGATAAACGAGTGTCTGAAATAAATGCATTCAACCCAACTATATCTAGCTTCATATTAGCCTAGGTAATATACTGAGTTAAATGTTGAGTTTATGTTCATGGTATATAAATACTTCTATACGTTCGTTCAAAGGGGAGTTAGATCAGCGGGTCACAAAACCTTAAGTTTTACCCCAATTTCGCTCACATGGTCATTCCACGAAACGCAAGTAATACTTCAAAGACACCGGCGATCAAAAATCTTCAGTCTACATATGTCCTCCACTTCAAAAGACAATTTTTCATAGCACAAAGTTATACAGGGTAATCTGACGGACAGTGTACACCCAGTGACGAGTTAAGGAAGTCCGACTGAGTTTTTTGAATTCGTGCGTAGATTTCGTCAGACACCAACCCACCAGGGCTGATCAGATGAAGTTGTCAACGCATTTTACTTTACTCCTTATTATTTGTCCAAGTATTGACACGGACCAATCCTGAAGAAACATTTTCGATTTAAAGGGAGGGAAACGCATCTCAAGTATACTTGTTTTGTTGTTAAATGCGATCAGACGAAGCTTATTTGCAGCTGATTAATTGCGATTGTAGTAGATTGTCCATTGCTGTACAATGATACGGGTTCAATATTAAAAGTCTCCTGAACGATCGGTCTGGATGGTCATCACATACTTCAGAACTGTTTCAAAAGTGTCAGGAAAAGTGATGAGCAGTGATGATAACGTACAACCGTATATAAACTCGTTTGCGGTTTTGAATAATGGAGTTATGTAGTTGCCCTTCCTTATGGCTTACTTATGACTTATGACCCTGTCCAGTATCACGTGACAAAATCGCCAACCAAAATACCGACTTCTATGACCTTGTCTCTGTACTAAACCAATGACAACGCCAACCAGCACTAGCAGCCTTGAGTCAACTTTGAATCCTTATTGGTCCTCAACGTAGTTGCTCTTCACCTTACCCTGTTCGTTGAGTCCAGAAAACAATATTTGCCTTCACTATATGTATATTATACTTCAGAAATATTTAGTTTATATACAAGCGTACTAGGAACCCTCACACCATAACATGAAAAATAACTATTACACAGGACCAAACCAAAAGTAGCTGTGAGTAGGGGAGACTGTAAATAATGGATTAAGAATAAATTAAGAATAGTAAATCGCATAATAATAGTTAATGGGTCAAACAAAAGCTTATGATAAAAAGGAATATAAACACATGATCTAGTTACTCAATAATCATGCAATAAGAATGTGTATAATGATTACTTACTCACTCCTGTTACCCCTCGTAGAAGAGCATAGGCCACCCACCAGGATTCTCCGTCGAACTCTGTCCTGAACAGTACTTTCCAGTTGCTATTCATTCTTTTGATCTCTGCTTCAAATTCCCGGCGTAGTGTGCTCTTTGGTCTTCCTCTTTTCCGTTTCCATCCAAGATTCCAAGTCAGCGCTTGCTTCGTGATGCAGTTTGGTGATTTCCACGATATATGTCCTATCCACTTCCATCATCTTTTCCTAATTTCCTCTTCAATTGGAAGTTGGTTTCTTTTCTCCCACAGTAGGTTGTTGCTGATGTTATCTGATCAACGAACATTGAGTATTTTGTGTGGACAATTTTTATTACATACCTGCACTATTTTGATGATGGTTGTAGTAGTTCCTCACGTTTCGGCTCCGTACAGTAAAACTGACTGTTTTGACGTTCATATTAAAGGTTCTGACTTTGATATTGGTTGACAGTTGTTTTGATTTCCATGTGTTCTTCGATTGTAGGAATGCGGTCTTTTGCCAATCCTCCTCTTTACGTCTGCATTCAATCATTCTTATTCATTGATGATGCTTTCCAGGTACATGAATTTTTCCACGTGTTCCAGAGTCTCCATCAAGTGTGATTGGATTGGTGTTCTCCGTGTTGTATTTGAGGATCTTGCTTTTCCCTTGTGTATTTTGAGGCCTACTGCTGCTGCACTGACTGTCTTCGTCTGTATTTTTTGATGTGTATGGGACAGAAGAGCTGGGTGATCTGCAAATTTCAAATCGTTTAGTTGCATGCAAGCTGTCCATTGTGTTTCGTGCTTGCCATGAGTTGTGGAGCTTTTCATAATCCAGTCGACCACGATAAGAAATAGGGTGAGAGTAGGTTGTTTTGTCTGATGGCCATCGGTGAAGTGACATCTACAGGAAGGTTGTAATGGCTAATCCTATATCGAACCCACATAGCTTATTCTAGCTTCTGGACAAGCCAATTCATCCATTTTTCTTAAGTTACATTTTGACCTTGTTAATTGTTTGCTTATCAACATTAAGTGTTTTTATGTGGGCATACGTGTGTGCATTTCTTATCTTACTCATCACATGTTTGTAACTTATTTTTGTCTGTCTACAAATATCGATTAACGCTTGATTAAATCGAATAGGCTCACATACCTTCCCCACTGTGTGTCATTCCGTTTCGCTCCGTCTCCCCGATTGTCTGTGCAGATCAATGAGTGTACAAAATATAAGTATTCGAAATCTATTCTCGTACTTGTCTTATTTATTTCCGTTATTAACTAACGTGATTCAAGTCGATGATTATATACGAGGATTGACAATATGTATATTGCGATAACAATCATTCATCCGATCTAATTTGAGTCAGATATTCCAGGGTCACTAAAAGGTCTGCGCGTGCTGCTTCAATGTTTGGTGGGTTCAGTGGATCTGGCTTATTCGGGAGTTCTTCAAAGCGTTCCACCCATCCGTTCTGCTGTTCTTAAATTTCAGTGATTGGCTTGCCTTTTTTGTTCTTGACTGATTGCTGTGGTTTACTATATTTCCCTATTAATTTCTTTGTTGTGTCATGTAGTTGTCTGATGTTTCCTTCTCTTGGAGCTTCTTCCGCTCTCATTTCTGGGTGTTCCATTTATTTCTGCTTGACAGCTCTAATGCTCCTCTTCACTCTCTTATTTGCTGCTGTGTATTCAGTTTGTGACTTGATTTTCTCTGCTCTTGTTCGGCTGTTGCTAATTGCTGTTTTCTTATTCTTACTTTATTGAATCCAAAACAGGGCTTTAATAGAGATCCATTCCTTTGGATGATGCTTGTTTTGGCACAGCATCTTTTGACATGTTAAGGTTAGTGCTTCTTTGACCCCTGTCCAGTTATCATCTTGTAGTTCCTTCTTCTTTAGGTAGATCTTGTGGGGCTTGGAACGTGTTGTTGAGAGCTACCTTGAATTGGTTGAGGTTGGTAGTAAGTCGAAGTAAGGTTGTATTAAACTTTTGTAGTGCTGTTTGTCCAGTTGTCCAGTGCCTCTTTAGCTTCAGTTTCATCTTGGTAATCACTAGGTGATGGTTTAACGCTGTATCAGCTCCTCTCTTTATTCTCACGTCGTTCATTGACCTTCTTAAATTTTTAGTGATGCAAATATGATCGATCTGATTCTGTTTAGTGTGATCCGGTCGGAACTATGTAGCTTTGTGTATGCGTTTGTTGGGGAATGTGGTGCCATCTATAACCATTTTGTTGAATGCATATCAATTTGTAAATATGTCACCATTCTCGTTCCCTTCTCCCCGTCAGTCGATTTCGTCCCATGATATCTTCATACCCGATGTTGTCTACCCCTACTTTTGCGTTTAGGTCTCCCATCGGGATAGTCCACTAAAAATTCCTTGAAGTTACCATTCATTTATTCTTCGAACATAACAGTTATTTATACGATTCTCGAAAGACTTCAAAAATATCACAACTTAGAAAATGCAGCACAGTTTTGTGCAACAAGCCGACTCCAGGTTTGATATCAAGAAACAAAATCATTATTGTTTCCCAACACATGCGATGGCATTTTAGTATATTCTGAGAAGTAAAAATGTACTTTCTCTGTTCACTACCTGAACCAGTGTTTTATTTAAAACCTGTTTTGGGTACCATCTCATATTATTTGCATAATATTCCCAGATTAACTCAAAAGGGGATATTTGTCTTTACCTAGTTGTTCGCAATGCCACGTCCACAAGCATCAGAAAATTTTGTTTGGTTTATTACTACATCCCTTTTGATAATTATCTCCTTAACGTATCCACAATTTACTTTATTTAATGTCCGCTCATTTGATTCGGCACTTATTAAAACAATTCACTTCACAGGTTTACGTATATCCTCTCTCGCCAAAACAAGCCAATCTATCTTTAACCTATCAAAAAATCCTCACCGCTTTGCATAATTCAAAACTTCTCACATCAGACCCATATGAAGCTTGTATATTTATTCCTAGCTTGGATACTCTAGATCGAGATCGTTTAAGCCCACATTTCGGTCAGTATATAGCTCATGAACTCGTTAATTTACCATTTTGGAATTCGTTGCCTAGACGAGATCTTGATCGTAAGTTTAACATTTTTAGAAGCATGTAGATCTTTTTATAAACTTAGTTAGCTTTTTATGTAAATCACTGATAAAAAATAACATGAGCATTCCTAATAGGGTCACATTCCAAATGATTCGTTAGTTTAAACATGTTAGTGTCGAATTTGAAGCTGTGGTCTCGAAACTCAACTATACTTATAAATAAAAATAAAATATTTGTAATATCCCAATGAGTAGAAAATTGGATTTTTTGACGTTTCGTGACTTAGTGTAAGTCACTTCAACTACACTTAGTTCACCGTGGTCATATCAATAATATTTCTAATGATATCCTGGCGCTTAACAACTGAATTGTTTCTTAGTTGTTGAGTTACCTTTATTAATATACATGCTATAAATGGAATTCCCCACTAGGGGTTTCAGTTTATAATCATTTGTAATTTATTTGAACTTTTATTGGATGTGTTTAGTTCCACCCATTGCGGTACAAATAAGCTACCAGTTACCGCTGAGAAAATCCTATAATCCTTTGGGAACGACGGTTACAAGTTTCCAAATGTTAGTATTCAATAAGTCCAAAAATTCTAATTCAGTCGAATATATGTAAGAAATTAAAAGTTCGAGAATGTTTGTTTTGGGTTCCACACACATTTATCCGAAGTGTCACTTCAAAACTCGTATATATTGATGTTTAGTATGACCAGTATAAAGTAGTTGAACACTCCGCGTTCATAAATTATATGTTTATTTGCATACGACTAAATTTCGTTAGTCATAGCAGACTAATGACCAATTCCTCCTATGCTATAACAATGAATATTTCTAATTTTTGCTATATATGCCACAGCGTATCACAATAATAGTAGTACTTGTCAACGTAAATTTTTTTTTAGAAATTAAAGAAACCTTTTACACTCCTATATTTATTTTTCCTTTTTCAATATTTCTATAAAAGCTGATTCACTCTCAACCACTACTCAAAAGCCATCAGAATATGCTGGTCGTAATCACTTAATATTTAATTTACATGCAGGCACTTGGCCATATTATCATGAAGATGAATATCGTTTATGGCTTGGCCAAGCCATGTTAGCTAAAGCCAGCTTTTCGACTAAATATTTTCGTCCAAAATTTGATATTTCTTTACCACTTATTCACTCTCAACATCCTTTACAATCAGGGTCAAGTCAGTTGGATCAATTAGTGAGCAGTGAACATTTACGTGGTCGACTTGATCTACCATATCTTTTAAGTTTTAAGGTAGTTTTTTTTTCTATCTGTAATGTTCATATTCATATTTGCAATTCTCGTTATAGCCTGAGATAAGTTACAGAACTATTAGAGACTAAGTGGCACTGAGCAGTTTTTTCGTCTGAATTCGGGACTTTTCAACAGTATACACACAACAAAAAATCACATTCAGATCTTACGACAAATAAGAAATCATTAGAACACAATTCGGGATCAGCTAGGTTTTATTTTCAGCTCTAATCATTTCCCTATATATTCCAGTTCATTAAATGTGAATTACTACTTGTCTAATGACTTGATTAACAACCGCAAGTCTAAGGTTTCCATTATAATTTCAAAAAATACGTAGTAAATATTCATATTCCTTTTCTCAATCTCATCTAGTTACTATTAATTTATTTCAATTAAAAATAATTGTGTCATACCATTTAGGATTTCCTATTGTGTATATCACTCTCAAAACTCTTTATTAGTCAAAATAATAAAATCAAATTTATATTGTTGACTCTTCAGAATATTTAGTTCACAATTATTCAGAATTTGGGTGTGTTGGCAGACATTTTTACCTGGTATATTTCACTATGTTAACTATTGTAAGATTATAATTTGACTAAGTGAAGGATAAAAATTAACAATTCATGAATATTGTTAATCTATTCGAACATGTACACTTCTAACAAAATATAGAGCACTTATTTTTTGGTCTTATAGGGTAAACGTTATGTCAGTGGGATTGGATCAGCATCACGTGATATACTTTTTCATTTACACAACGGAAAAGATATAATTATGTTAACTACTTGTCGTCATGGCACAGATTGGACACGATATGCTGATAAACGTTGTGCTACAGATATGGCTTTATATGATGCGTAAGTTCTCTCTGCCTTCATTTTGTCTCCTCTCTTCAAAACTTGTTAATAACTACACTTTTTAAGTAGACTATAATTTATGGACGAACCAATCAAATTTGATATAGCAGCCGTTAGATTTTGACCCGAAATTCATTCATTCATTTGGCTAATTAGCATTTTGACATTATAGCTGATGTCAGTTCGTGATGGATTACTTACTTACTTACTTACTTACGTCTGTTACTCCCAATGGAGCATAGGCCGCCGACCAGCATTCTCCAACCCACTCTGTCCTGGGCCTCCTTTTCTAGTTCCATCCAATCAAATTTGATATAGCAGCCGTTAGATTTTGACCCGAAATTCATTCATTCATTTGGCTAATTAGCATTTTGACATTATAGCTGATGTCAGTTCGTGATGGATTACTTACTTACTTACTTACTTACGTCTGTTACTCCCAATGGAGCATAGGCCGCCGACCAGCATTCTCCAACCCACTCTGTCCTGGGCCTCCTTTTCTAGTTCCATCCAATTCTTGTTCATTTTTCTCATGTCTATTTCCATTTCCCGGCGTAATGTGTTCTTTGGTCTTCCTCTTTCCCTTTGGCCTTGAGGATTCCATGTGAGGGCTTTTCTTGTGACGCAGTTGAGTGCTTTCCTCAATGTGTGTCCTATCCACTTCCAGCGCTTCATCCTGATTTCTTCCTCCACTGGGATCTGGTTTGTTCTCTCCCACAGTAGGTTGTTGCTAATAGTGTCCAGCCAACGGATCCGAAGTATTTTGCGTAGACAACTGTTAATAAACACCTGTATTTTCTGGATGATGGCTTTCGTAGTTCTCCAGGTTTCTGCCCCATACAGTAGAACTGTCTTGACATTTGTATTGAAAATCCTGACCTTGGTGTTGGTTGACAGTTGCTTTGAGTTCCAGACGTTCCTCATTTGTAAATGTGCTGCTCTTGCTTTGCCGATCCGCGCCTTCACATCTGCATCAGATTCCTGGTATTGAGAGAAGAGTGATGCCCCTGTAGTTATCACAGTTGCTGAGATCGCCTTTTATCGGTATTTTGATCAGAAGTCCTTCTTTCCAGTCTGTTGGTACTTGTTCCTCATCCCAAATCTTATTGAAAAGAATGTGGAGTATCCTTTCAGTTACCGCTACGTCTGTTTTTAGTGCCTCTGCTGGAATGTTGTCTGTTCCTGCTGCTTTGCCACTCTTGATTTGCCTGATGGCCATGCTTATCTCTTCAATTGTTGGTCGGCCAACATTGATTGGGAGATCCGTGGGTGCTGCTTCGATGTTGGGTGGGTTCAGTGGGGCTGGTCGATTCAAGAGTTCTTTGAAGTGTTCTACCCACCTGTTTTGTTGCTCTTCAATGTTGGTGATTACTTCGCCTTCCTTGCTTTTCACTGGTCGTTCAGCTTTGCGGTGATTTCCAGAGAGTTTCATTGTTATGTCATACAGTTGTCTCATGTTTCCTTCTCTTGCAGCCTTTTCCGCCGTCTTTGCTAGATCTTCCACATATTTACGTTTGTCGGTTCTGATGGATACCTAAACTCTAATTCCTAACACTAACGTCCAATTGTAAATCCTAATTTTAATTCTTTACACTTGTTTATAACCTTTACTTCAGCATCTCTCAAAGTTCTTCCATAAGTTATAGTGTCACCTACTTTTTAAAAAAATTCCTCTTTTGATTGACTCTCAAATCTTGATAGAATCCAATCATCTTCAAATGTTATAAACATCTATTTTTATTTTTACCGATTAATATACAAATCAACCATTTTCATTTGAAATGTTATACATTTATATTTTATCTGTTCGAACTAGTTTGTTTCTATAGATTGATAAATATTTTCAATATATGTCCAAAACAGATAAATTATTACGTAATGATTGACAATATCCATTATTCACTTGGTATTGCTTGGCTTGTATCTTCCCATTGAGGTTTAAGACTGCAATTGATCAGTCTGTCATTGGCATATGTGCGTACTGTGCGTATGCCTCGATATTGCCTTAATTCACAAGCTTTTTTGTAAGCAATGATGGATAGTGGTTAGCAGTGGAATTCAGGATGCGCGTTTCGTCCTATTTGGGACTCGTCAGGTGGATGTGCCTGCATCTCAAAGTTGATCTTCACTCTGGGGCTCGAACCCAATACCATTCGCTTCAAACACCATCACGCTATCCGAATAGGAGGAAACGCGCGTCCTGCATTCCACTGCTAGCCACTATCCGTCATTGCTTACAAAAAAGCTTGTGAATTAAGGCAATATCGAGGCATACACACAGTATCCACATATGCCAATAACAGACTGATCAATTGCAGTCTTAAACCTCAATGGGAAGATACAAGCCAAACAATACCAAGTGAATTTAAATTTGCCCCATCGTACAAGTAAGTGGCTATCAGGACTCAGTAGCTGAGTGGATAACATGATGGCATTTGAAACGAACGATATTGGGTTCGAGTCCCAGAGTGAACATCAACTCTGGGATGCAGGTATATCCATCTGATGAGTCCCGAATAGGACGAAACGCGCGTCCTAGATTCCACTGCTAGCCTTTATCCACGATTGCTTACAAAAATATCAATTATGTTTACTATTTTATGGTAATGATACAAATCAAAGTGGTTCAAAGATATTGACATGATGAATTTTATCGTTTTAAGTGAATTATTGACTTAATCATTTTATAACTCTTAAGTAATTATATTGTTATTCCAGCATTAATTACACTTTATTTTCTTTTTCTGCATGCGAAGATGATTTCTTAGATTTTTGTTTTAATTTTATGTTCTGTGTGCTGGCAACTTAAAAGATGGAAATAATTCATTTTGAATTTTTTTAATATCATATTCAAATTGAACGGTTTATTTAGTTATCGCATATTACTATTATTAATTGTAGTATTTATTTCTAAGCACTTTCAAACTTCAGATTGATTTGCAGTATTTCTTTTCGTAGCGAAAGAACCTTGTTTTAGTGTATCACCTCACAATTGATCGATCACTGGATGGTGATCAATGTCACGTGTGTCAAGTCCTTCTTAGTGTAGGGAGCGCAAGTTCCCTCAAGAGTACAGGTACACCTTACTAACGAGTGCCAAGTAGCACGAAACCCGGGTCTAGGGTTTCCTGTTGACTACCTCTAACCACCAGTGTATCACCCAATTATACCGTAGTTTTCTTTTTCATATCTTAAAAAAATTGTAATTCACATTCTCTTAAACTATTACGTCCCATGAACCAGATCATGCATGTTTCAAATCTATTGATTTTATCTTACATGGTGTTTATTGATTGATGCACCTTGATAGACTGATATATTTAATCTATCTATTTATTTTTTAGATATGATTATTGGGAATTAATGTATAATTCCACGTTTTGTCTTGTTCCTCGTGGTCGACGATTAGGTTCATATCGGTAAAATATTGTAGTTACATTAAATCTGTAATATTTTCAAATGTTTTTTTCTAATTAATATTTTTAGTCTCTGTTTGTACGGTTATCGAGAACTATTCACTGAAATGTAGATTAAAATCTCATGTTTTATGTATCAGAACCTTTATAACGTACGCACCGATGTTGAATAAAATTAGAAGACTGGTATGATTTCTCTTAATGTTATATCCTAGTGAAGATTGAATTACGAGTAACATCTGAGACCTATTAATGGACTACTATTATTTACATATTCTCATGGTATAAATATTCATTAACTAGACTGTATATCTATATTCCTCTTATTATAATCTTCATTTTGACCTATAATTATTATTATACTATTTACTGTTCTGAAATTATACTGTTTATTGATTATTGTCTCCCTCGTTCACAGCCACTTTTTGGCTTTATTGTGATGGGATGCGATATGTTTGGCTGGTATATAAACCAAGTATGTCTGAAATAAATAATTCGCATAATGGAGGCTGTTGTTGGCATTCTGGACTCAGCTGAACAGGCTAGGCGAGCAACGGACCAATAGGATGCTAGACTGATCAGACCGGTCGGACGTCATCGGTTTAGTACAGTATGAGAGCGAATAAGTCGTATTTTGATTGGCGAGCATACTACGTGATAACTAGCAGTCCATAAAGACACAACAATTAATATGGTGCGCTGGTTCATTGTTTGAACCAATCAACTTCCAACAATTAGGTCACAAATTCCAACCCCGCTTGTTCCGTATGGCTGGACAGCCTCTTGGTATCACTGATTATTACACAAACAGCGTGGTTCAAAGTCGAATACAATAACCTGTACTTGGTAAATTAGTTATAAAACTCGGAATATATAGATATATACAAGTGATTCTATATTAATTAAAAATCAGTTTATTTAAAAACTTACGTGCAGCGTTATTATACCGGTAATTAAAAGCCAATATTAAATATAGACAAGGAGATAAATCATCCATTTATTATGATCAAATAAATAATCACTTCGACAACCAAGGAAATAGGGGCTCGCTATTGATTAATCTAGGATATTCGAGCAATGAAATCATGAAATAGATTACTGGTTACCCATAGTGGATATAATTAGGTTACACAATTCTCATACTCTCTATCTACCTGGTGCTATAGCTGAGTAGTTAATGTGTTAGTCTTTCATCCACTGTGTTGTAATTTTATTCCCTACTTCTGGTACATCGGTTTTGGTCAATTATTTTAATAATATTGTCAAAATAAAAAAGTTTAATATTTTTGACAGTTGGCTTCATGAGTCGATCTAAGCTAGACCTGTTGGGGAGGTCTAGGAAACTCCTCGAAAAATGCCAACAAAGGCTCTGCAAACGCTGAGAAGCATATTATCCAACCATCATCCATTAGGCTTGCCAGAAATATCTAGAAAGTGAAACGTCACGTGTCAAGTTTCTGATTGGATGATTACCTATGCTGCTACTATGTTTATTAGCGTCCCAGAATTTTCCGGAAACCCAAGATCATCTAAAATACTATAAAAATCCTAAATTTTTTTGTACATAAACGAACATTTGGAGTAAAGCGTTTCTTCCATCTTTCGTGCCTTTCCTCTCGTGTTCACGTCTCTCTGTGGATCTAGCCTGGGGGTTATTAGAAGAGCTTAGGAACCGAATCTAGCGTTCAGTTCGAAGACTTATCAAGACCACCATTGAAGACCTGGAAGCACTGGACGGCCGTTTCGTCCTAGTATGGGACTCCTCAGCATCCACAATTCCGCACACGGGACCCGAACGTAGAACCTTTAGTCTCTTGCGCGAACGCTTAACCACTGAGGGGTATCCGACGGTGTTAATGTCTAACTTCAATCGATCTATGATGTCGCTCAACTAACTAGGTTGAAAGTGTGAGGTATTGCGGTAATACTACTGGGTAGTTATTGTGGGATATCACGAACTGCGTGAATTTGGGTATGTGGATCATTGTATTCCGACTAAGTGATTTGAAGGTAATGAGTTCACCCCAATATCTGAATATTTTTGAATCAATTCTTAGTATGGTTGTGGGTGTAAACATCAAAAGAGCTCCAACTAGAAAAAAGAAAGCCATCCGACGTTCCTGAGCTCTCAGTAGTCGTTTTGCTTGAATTATTCCGTGATGTGAACTATTTTCACCTTGTTGCTTATAACCCCCAAAAATAAATAAATTCTTGAGTCCTTTTATTTTCGTAATTCCTATTATACTATTCTAGTGAAATGAGAACCCTGTTCGTTCAAAGCAAAGTACTCTTAATCATTCCATTTCTTATTTTTCGTGTTTGTACTATTTAATTAAGGTTCTTAGAAGTTTTGCAGTCTGGTTGTATCCCAGTTATGTTGAGCAATGATTTGGAACTTCCGTTTTCTGAAGTGATTGATTGGAATCGAGCAGTTATTTGGGCTGACGAACGATTACCTTTATTGCTTCCATTAAATCTACGACGTATTACATCTCATCAGATAATTCAATATCGACAACAAGTAATGTTTCTTTGGCATACGTATTTATCTTCAATCGAATCAATTGTTCTTACAACACTTGAGGTAAATATTTCCTTTTGAATTTGTATGATATAGTTTGTACAGTCGCTGTTAGTTAAAGAAATATATTTCAATTATGTTATGGGTACTCCCAGGTTTAAATCAAAACAAAAAAGGAATGTATAGATAAAGTAGCGTAAAAGAAATTTGCTCGTAATTAGTTCTTTGCATTATATTGTTTGTATGGATAGCTAGGTAAGCGAGAACATTTTCTTCATTCATAACAATAATATTTTTGTATGTGCTGGAAAACTCCCGGCCGCTCGAACTGAAGTAAATGTTCTCCTTAGAGGATCACTTCCCGAGCCCTTGATCTAGAGGTCTAATCCATCAGTCAGCAGAGCAGTGCCAGGAGACCCCCAGACCATGGTGACCGGTGGCCAAAATAAATTTATGTGTTATTCCTTCTCTTAGAATCACAGGGCCCATCTACATCACTGGTTTGCAGTGAGAGTTTTACAAGTCCCCTAGGTCGATCATTCATATTTAACAGTCCAGTCTAACCGTCAGACACTTGCTTTTCGTCCTCTTGCAGTACCTGCACGTTGTGGAGGCAGTGAGTAAAACTTTCGTAGCAGAAACTAAATTCCCATGACAGTGTAATAGCATTTCGAGAGGGATAACGAATTGTTGTAACCATCAGCCGTACTAAGACAATTGGGTGGGGATGGTAAGAAAGAAAGTTGTATAAAAATGGGATCTGTTGGCCTATCACGACTTCCTGATTGGGATCTTAAAGATGACAAATCTCAGTGGCTTAAGGTGCTATCAAACATGGCTCAGAATAGAAGCCAATGGCTATCGTGCATTAGTTTTTTTGGATTTTTATAAAAGTAAGATGAGGTGCGTCAACTGTAAGAAAACTCTCTTTTACTGCTACTTTTAACTGAGGTGTATCTCTTATTACAAGCCATTCTCTTTCACTTATTTTTCTTTGATTACACCCCCTTTTTCTCTTTTATTTCTTCCCAATATTATCTCTTTACTTTGTATGGCTCATATTTTGCTTGCTATTCCAGTTGTACAAAATTCTTTAAGGGTAAGAAAACTTATCTCCAAATAAGAGAGTTTGTCAATGGTCTATTTATTTCTATTGATTTTATGAAATAAATTAAAAGGGTTTGATTTTTACGGTTGATATAAAGCATCGTTGCGTTTGTATCAAGAATGTTACATTCGTTGATGGGAAATAAGTCCAGCAGGATTGTTTACCTTTCATGGTTTGTGCTTTTGTGAGGGTTAATATACTGCTAAGGTGCTTAAATCAAAACATATGGCTTTTTCGGGAAAACACTCCTAGAACATTTGTCTATGTGTCTAACCTCATGAGGTAATAAGTAAAGCAACGTCAGAGGGTAGCTTAGCGGTTAAGACATTCGGTTTAGAGCCTCATCCCGCCTAATTCGGTTTTGGCACTCGGGTGCTATTGTAGTGAACCAACACTCAAGTGGGGGACAACCAAATTATTGTTTAATACAAAATTACAGAAATGTGAGAACCATACAACTTGGGGTTCGCGCGAATTTCGTACCCAATGTCTAGAGAATCTAAGTGATATGGTTCAGAATCGATCACAATGGAGTAGGTGTATACACTCTCTATCTTCCTTTAAACCGTGAGATTAAAATTACTTTATATCTTTCTTTCTACGAACTAGTTTTTTTTTCTTGTATCATATCCTTATGTGGAGCCTTGTTTACTACAATTGAAGTAACTGCTTCTGTGAATGTGGTATTCATCTTGTTGCGCTAATCCGGTGTGGCAACTTGGACCGATGGATATGTGTTTGGTCCTACGTTGTAACTAACTGACTGAGAAACTTTCATTTCACGTGATTTCTAACAAAATTGTATGCGTACACTTTCTTTTGTTTGGTTATTATTCTGATTTCAGATTATACGAGATAGAGTTTCGCTTCGTCGTCGGAGTTACGAAATTTGGAATACATTACCTGGTGGTCTCATAGTTTCGCATGTAGATTCTATGGACAGTTGTGATGTAGCAGTCCAACGATATCCGATGCATTGTCAATGTAGGTTTTTCTTAGGAAGATTCTGAAAGCGTACCATTCTTGAGCCATTTTTTCACAATGAACAATCGATGAGAACATTGTTATTTGTATGTACCCTAATTTTAAAAAGCAAATGTAATATTTCACTCATTTACATAACCCATAAACTCATTTAGACCTTGTTGTTTGATAGCGAGAGGTGATTAAATGTATCCGGCCAGCCTTAGGGACTAGACAAGCTTAGCTCTGTTCATTAGTCAGTCACCAACGAGCATAATGATAACTCTCACAGGAGGTTAGTTGCAGCCAGAATCGCTGGGTGATAACGTAGTTAACTGAGTAATCATATGACATTGATTTGAATCATACAAGGTGAATAAGTCCGATCAATAATCCAAATACCCTTTGGTGGTTAATAACAGCTGACATGAGTAAATTCAGTTCTAAACAAGCAAGCACTTTCTCTTGTCTTCTGATTTGCAACTTGGTAGGATTCTAGCGTTCGGGTGCTCAAATCATACGTGGTATTTTAAGAATCTGAGCTCAAGGTATAACATTAATAATCAGTGGGTCATTAAAACATAGCTGTCTTATTTTTACGATAGCTGTTGACAAACCATTATCATGTCTTTTCTATTTTTGTCCTATTAATATATAGTTGTTTTCTTATGTTAAAACACCTTTCATTTTTGTATTTTCTATTTAAATAGCCGAAATCAAGTCAGGTTTCACAATGTTAATTCCAATACGTGCAGAACTTTGTGCCGTTTATTTGGAACGGTTAAAATCTCTCGGTAAAATTCTGTTCCATTCCGAATTTTTACGAAAGGTAAAGAAAGTTTATTCCTCAAATTAAGTAATACTACCATATCGAGTTTTCACTTTCGTATGTATATGTGCAAGAGAGAGAAAGTGAGTGTTTTTCTTCCCGAACACAGTAAAATAATCCATAAGTTAATGCTTCGACTAGCGATTATATTTAAAAATCTGTTCCAGTTATTTCCTCCTAAAAACAGTACATCATTAAATAAATATCACTTACAATTCACCACACAAACTTTTAAGTACTGAGTTATATTATTTGAAATAATGTTCTTTTATCGATTGCTCTGTAAATTTATTGAGGCAGTTACCCACCAAAGACAATGAAAGGTGGTCGCGCACTATCGTGTATTGATTGAAGTTATACAGTGCTAAGGAGTCCCGTACTAGGATGAAACAGCCATCCAGTGCTTCCGGGTTTTCAGTGATGGTTTAACATTGATCAGTCGTGTGTGTGCTACTTATATTGACGTAATTATTATGTGGTGTTAGTCGTGAACAGAAGGTTGGGCAGCAGAGAGACAAGAGAACCGAACAGTAAAGAATGGAAACAGAATGGAATTTGTATGAAAATACAAGAACAATGAAGTCTGGGCCATTTTCGGACAACTGGTGGTCATTTTGCGAATTGAGCATTTACTATATGGTTGTTAGATTTTATTAACAAGTTCTGTAATTTTGTGTTAAATACATTTGATTGTCCCCATTGGTGTTCTTGTTCACTACAATCTCAGTAAAACCTCAACAATCTTCACTATCGTATACTGATTTTACTGAGTCTTAAAGACAATATATAAAGTCAGAGTTTTATGCTGATTATTTTTAATCATTGAACTTCAAACAAAGTCCATTATGGTTCCGAGTTGCATAAATTAGCGGTCTCTTTACAACTTGAGTTATATAATCTGATAAGCTCTGGAAGTCAGGTAGTATGACATTCATTCCTACTATGCGATTAATGCCTCAGTCCTACAGGTCAGTCGTAGTCATTTTATAATAGGCTTGATCTTATTTACTCATTGAACATTAGGTCACCAAGATTATCAGAACTATTTGATATATTAGCTCAATACATCTTGAACAATCTGATCACATATCTACTTAATAAGGCATCTATAAATAGGTAAGAGGACTCTGAGTAGTAAATCAATATTACCATGATAGATTCAAGGTGGGAACAAACTTTTTTGTACACAAAGGAGGTTTAGATTTCTGTATTGACAAGGCTTCAGTAAACTTAAGTACACGCCCTTAGTCACTTCAAAGGTTGGTTTGACATCACTCTTATGACCCGTCTTGACCAAATGTTTCACAATGCAGAGAGATGTTTGTCTATTCCTATGCTCTCATTTGACCATTGAAATTCATATATTTTTGTTGCCACTTAAGTATGTACTCAACCACCCCTGCTTGGAGGTAACATTTTCTCCTTTCTATGCATGTGTTTCCACACAAATATGCAAATTAATAGACAACGGAATTTACCCAATCTTTTACAGGCTGTTTGGATTTTCGACAAAATGTATATCTTGAATTTTCGATAGTGATGAAGAGAAAGTTGAATCTATTTAGTTTAAGTTCGGAGCTACAGGTTTTCGTTTTGGAAATTTGTATTACTACTGCTACTGTTCGAAAGAGGCTGACCGATTATTATTATTACTATTATTATTATTAATTATTTGACTGACAAGTATTTGAGAAACAGATATGGAAAACTGAAAGCTTACTCCATTTAGTAACTTGGTTATTTACAATGACAGGAGTTCAGTTAACATTAAAATACAGTCTCATTGATAACTTAGACCACAAACTGAAAAATGACGTCATATTCTATAAACAAGATGTCGTATAAATGAAGTGTTCTATCTGTAGTATGAAAATTCAATGATATTTATCCAGTATTTCCAGTTTTCAACTGGTACATAGCACACTAGATGATAAACAAATGTGTGTGTAACTAAGGTGGTTGGTTAGCGACATTACCGAGAAAGGTATTTATGAGATAGCACTCACATGTTATCAACTTGCTCGTATGACATATCCAATAAGAATAATTCTCAACTAAGTCCCGATCGAAAACAGTGGAAATATTCATAATCACATTATATGGTAATTAGGACTGAATTTCAACTCATTATGCATTTGGTTGAGTAGTTCATTATTTTATTCATTGAGTTATAGTTTGACTATATTCGATTGTGCATACATGTGAAACTGATAACTAATTATCTGTGTACAGATGTTTTTGTTATTCCATCCTCTTTTTAGATAATTCTGATTTGGCAATGCAAGAATTTTCCACCAAATAATAATGAAGTAAAATCTTATGCTCCAGTCCCAGTTGAAATCGTTCTCCCTGACGAACGCTTTACACTAAGATATTCTTCTAATTCTATATCTCCAAGTGTTCGTTTTCAACCTTTTCACGAAATTCCTACCTTGGCTGTGTTTGCATATTCATTAAACCTGAACATTACAGTTGAACAGGTAATTCGATGTATATATGCCAAAAATTAGGCGTTTAAATTAAACATTTGAATACCAGACTCCATGATTAAAGTATAATAACTTGTGATTAGGAGAATATAGGAATCACATGCATTAACTATTAATAACTACACGTCAAAAAGTATAGTAGTGTCTCGAAAAACGGGTTACACAACTTTCATTGTTCTCAATTCTTCTCGTCATAACACCTTCCCACCAAAAAGGCTGAGAGTGAATGACCTATCAGAGCGTATGTATAATAAGCCTGTGTTTTTTGCTCTTTTTGAAGTATCCACAAACCTTTTAGCTTGGGAACCGACGAATAATCTAGCACAAAAATCTAAGGCAGTAGAAGTAAATTGTGTATTATTGTTTGTTATCAGGATATCCGGGACCCTAAAACGACATAGCAGCTATATAATTTTCGCAATTGTAGAATGTGAGGTGATGTGGTTCATGAGAATTATCTTTGGTAATTCAAAATATGAGTCAATATATATGAAGATATAACTACTATGGAATGGGCTAGTAAAATCGACGTGTACATGCGACTAGGGTTCAGCTGGAGATGATCGGAAATGTGGTCCCACTTTTCGTAGATTTGGAAACTTCAACACATTTTCTGCGACAATGAGTCATCATTTCTTTATTTCTGGCTATATTTGCATTCGGCCTCAGTCCAAGTTCTGGAATTATAAGTATTCGTTTTCGGCTAGCCATCTATAAGCTACAATATTGCTGTGTTGTGATTTCACCAATAGGTACTAATCGACCTGCTATTTTGGTCATCTCATTATCACGTTTAATGGGCAATCACAAACTTGAGGATGAAAGTAACATTTCTGCTTCTATATAAGTTAAACATGTGAGCAAGGTATTGGTGAATACAGAACAAATTTCAGTGACACCTCTTCAAGATGTTGACTACACGTCATGTTCCTATTTTACAGTAACTATCTAAATTTATTCGATATTGCTGACCCCCACATATTACATACCATGAATTAAAGCAGTGTCATCAACGATACCATTTTCTGTCCATTGTAAATGACCGTTATGTTCACCGATCCCGTAGTGGCTCCTAGTAATCCACGTTCAACCATCCTACGACAGCTCCACTCAACCCACCCAGGGATTGGAAGAATGGAATCTGTCACTGGAAGCTATGCATACTGACCGTGCATTGATAAGTAAATCAAGGAACGGGTAGCTGGTGTGCACATTAATCCTCTGTCTAAATTCATGGTTGAGATATGTATTATGGTTGCTCAGCCACTGTCTACCTGGACATGCTGTCCTAGATATCAGAGGCATAGGATAGAAAAAAATTAGGAGCGACCAAACCAAGACGTGTTATTAGATTGTATAAAGGTTAACTGCTGTACCGGTTCGTGTTGATAAATGTAAACTTTGTGGTCCAGATCCGCTGGATAATTGCGGCCAATGGTTAAAAACGCTGAGTGGCATATCTTAAAGTCGTTTGTAATGGGACAGATCCATTCATCCTTGATCTCTACATAAATGCTGGATTCCCGTGTTTTATTCCTTTCTTTGTCTCATCTTATTATCATTACTACTACCCTAATTCCGAGTCATTTGATGCTTCGCTTACTAAAGAATCTCACCTTTCTTTACAAATGTGCTGTAACAACTTAAGCCGGTGCACACTTGTTCCAGGTCCTGTGTTGGTTATGGTTGACTGATTGTGAGTTAATTATAGTTTACTCATTGTACGAACACATTTCCTAAAATAATCCCAGTAAGATAGTAATATTCCTACACTCATTAAAAACGTATTGAACTAAATATATGAGCAGTAAAATTGCATTCTTAAATTTATTTGGATATCAAGTGAAATTCTCTCATAGGAACCTCAGAGTACAAATGGCATGGATTAACGTTGATTTTGATTTTAATACAGAAATCAAACACACCACCTCAAAATTGGCACTATGAAACTAGAGATTTTATTAATGTAAAAAAATGAGAAGCTTAAACTATAACGTTTCTTATTAGAAACTTCAATGAACCTACATCAGTAATCCAGAATAGTTCTTAATGTGCTGATCAGCAGAAAAACTAAACAGCTAACTCAAATTAAGTAATACAACTGAAGAAAGAACTATTGGTACTTATCTCCATAAGATTTCAAACAGTTGAATTCTGTTAATATATCATTACAGAGTTAAGATGGTCACTCGCTTAAAGCAATCCAGATATAAAATTTGACTATGATAAAGGGACATGTTATAAAATACAAATAAAAAGATAAAATAACATCGAAACCAAAAATATTCACTTAAAATCTGTATTATATACTCATTCATGTTGATTAATCGGTGTTTGGATCGTATATTCAACATTTTTATTATCGTTAGTTTTTTACACATTTGTTAGAAAATAACAAAACAAATAATCCCAGTGATAAAATTAAACTGATTTTATATATTGGAACACAACTTACGCCTATTACTCCTAATGGAGCATAGGCCGCCGACCAGCATTCTCCAAACCACTCTGTCCTGGGCCTCCTTTTCTAGTTCCATCCAATTCTTGTTCATTTTTCTCATGTCTATTTCCATTTCCCGGCGTAATGTTTTCTTTGGTCTTCCTCTTTCCCTTTGGCCTTGAGGATTCCATGTGAGGGCTTTTCTTGTGACGCAGTTGAGTGCTTTCCTCAATGTGTGTCCTATCCACTTCCAGCGCTTCATCCTGATTTCTTCCTCCACTGGGATCTGGTTTGTTCTCTCCCACAGTAGGTTGTTGCTAATAGTGTCCAGCCAACGGATCCGAAGTATTTTGCGTAGACAACTGTTAATAAACACCTGTATTTTCTGGATGAATGCTTTCGTAGTTCTCCAGGTTTCCGCCCCATACAGTAGATCTGTCTTGACATTTGTATTGAAAATCCTGACCTTGGTGTTGGTTGACAGTTGCTTTGAGTTTCAGACGTTCCTCATTTGTAAATATGCTGCTCTTGCTTTGCCGATCCGCGCCTTCACATCTGCATCAGATCTACCCTGTTCATCAATAATGCTGCCCAGATATGTAAAGGTTTTTACATCTTCCAAATCTTTTCCGTCAATTGTGATTGAATTGGTGCATGCTGTGTTGTATCGGAGAACCTTGCTCATCCGTTTGTGTATATTGAGACCTACTGGTCGTCTTCTCCTGCGTTTGGGATAACATTGGAACACAAAGTATAATGAAATCCAAAGAAGTTTTGACGAATTCCTAAAAACAGTTTTGAGTGTAGTTTAAGTGCTTCGTTTTTTATACGTTGGACTGAAAGTCGATTAAGCTATGAATCAATACGCTCTCTACACTACTTTTTTTTAGTTAAATTTCGCATATCTAACTTGGCAAGAATTCCCTAATCGTTTAGTTGGATTTCAAGCTCGTTCACATTATTGGAATACTACAGATAACCTATGGAAATATGACGATAATCCATCGGTGAAGCATTTTTCAATAGTTTTACTAAATGGGGCATTTTATCATCGGTTAGTTTGTTGCTTTTTTTGTTTCTCTTTTAAAAAAAACGAACACAGTTGGAGATAAAACAAAATATTAAAAACCAGCAGACACCTTAATATTTACAGCGTACAGTGCAGCTGTTCAGGTTGCGTTGTTCTGTGAGCAAATGACGAAAGTATTTCTCAGGATGGTGTCATCAATACAACTCTGTATGTAATAATGCTATGTAGAGCCTGCAATTCCGCGCTTAACCTCATCACTTGTCGTCTTAATTTCAAGCAAACATTGGTCATACCCGACTATTATTTTGTATCCATGTAATCAATTAGTTGATCCCCTACACACTATCAAATCGATTCATCCATTATACAGTTGTACTGATTATTGCGTTTGTCAAATAGATGTGGAAAAAATACTGAACCTGATAACTTGTGATTTGTACACATATTGGTCAAACTATCTCACTGTTTTTAGGTATCTAGTGTAACAAATCTTATTTTCTTTTGTCTACGTTTTTATAGTTATTATCATCATCTGTATCAAACATTATTGGATCGTAAACTTCACGAGATTGTCAATGTATTTAATAACTGTGAAGATATCCTTTTTAATTGTCTTATAAGTCATGTAACTAGTTTACCACCAATTAAATTATTTAGTACAAGTCATATAGAACAAAAACGATTGTCAACGAATGAGATATTAAATTTAACTGAATTAAATACTTACCGCGAACAGCGAAGTCTATGCATACAAGCTTTTTCACAACATTTTATAAAAGTCCCATATACTGGAAAACATTCTAATCATAATATTAATAGTCAGTATATTAGTGGAAGAGATACACCCGAATTATATTTACCACTTTACGAGAATTCGTATAGGTAAGAGAAAAATAATTTTTTTCTTTTTCAAAGTTTGTAACTTTTTTGTTCATCTACTGAACTGATTGACTGTTTTGGGATTTCAGTTCATTGTAAGAAATATCATAGTACTCTCATTGGGTAAGATTTGATGTCATTTGTTTCAGTTCTGATTGGTTTTTACTAACATGGATTCACGCATTAGGTAGATTATTTGGCTTGATGAACAGTTTTCTCAAGTGATAAAATACACATCAATCAAATTGTATGTAAACGGAATACACCCATTAAGATATTAAATACGAAAAATCAGTTCAGCAAAGAGTTCTCTTTTCGGCGAATTCACTTTCAAAGCTGTACAATCGCAAATATATATACTCATTTTACAAGATGATAATAAACTTCTCTTAAACATGGTGACAATGAGGCAAAATAAACAAATTTTATAAAACAAGGAAGGTTTAATAATCGTTTGATTGTTAATGGCTTAAGTATTCATCAAAAGATAGATAGAGAAACGATCATTGGGAAAGGATGGCTCAGCATGATAAAATAAAATGCAATCAGGATGATCGTAGAAACAGAAATAAACTAGTTGGGGGTAGAAAATTTAAGGGGAAGATGAAGCAGATGGCTGTAAAGGAAGAAGAGTATGGAGAAAAAAATATAAGAAACTGATACCATGGTAGAAGAAGAGGTTGTACCAATTTCTTGCACACATAATTCTGGTTTTTCCAGATGTATGGCTATTGCTTCGGCAATTCAAAGAAGATGCAATCTAATTGTTTTTGAAAGACTTCTACTTACCTTGTACAAGACCTTGAACGCAGAGTACGTCTCGATTGAGTGACCTGTCTTCACAAGGTGTTCGATTATTGAACTTCTTATTATGCCGTTTACTTCTCTTTAGCCACACCGGGTAATGTTCTTAAATTCTTTCAGATAAAATACGCATCGAACGACCTATATACCTAACTCCATCTTTTTTGACTTCGCTATATCGATATTACACCACGAATAATTGTAAATGTTCAATTTGAAATGCCCTATTGTAGCGTCAATGTATGTGGTAGATTCATGTGTGGGGCGACTATAATCAACACTGAACAGTTTCGATAAGGAATATAGTACAAAGCTAGAGAAATTCGTGTGCTGTATTTGTTAACAAAATCCTGACTACAATTTTTAGTAATCTTTTACCTAAATGTTTTTTCCCGTTATTTGTAGCATATATCCTTCGATGTGACTTTTGAAATAGTCATAATTCCTCAAGCTAAAAATTTATGACAAGAACTTAAAGCTTTGGAAACGAATAATGTAAATAATTTAAAACAACTCTGTAGATTATAATGTAATAAATAATTTTTACTGTTTATTGTCCTTTTATGCTCAACATTTTGGTAAAAGCAATCTAATTGCGTAGATATTTTGCGAAAATATTATGCGCTAGATATGGTTCCTTGTACACACTTTCTTATCTATGGCCACATATTCTATGTATGCATACTGATCGTTAACTTGTTCAGATAAGTGCTCATTGGTTTATAGGACTTAAATGTGAAGTAAAGTTTTATACCATATTCGAGGTGTGCAATAAAAATTTAACTATTTTGACGATTTCTAAATCGAAAGAAACTACCCCTTTGAATGAGAAACCCAGTTAAATGAAATATCTTTTCTGAAAACTATATATATATATATATATATATGTATAAAAAAATAACGAAATTCAGAATGCAAACGTAAGTTGCTTATATAAACAAATTGAATATACAAGCAATGTAACAGACAGGAAGTGATTATTGTCAAAACAAAATGCTGACTGTACATATCAGACATAGATCATCGTTCAATGGCTTCGTCAAAAACATGATCAACATCTAGATGGAAAACTTCACTGTTAAAATGCTCTTCTTTGGTAGAAACTTTTTCATTACTACGAACAGCTGAATTGGCCACAACTGATTGTACTTTTGTCTCTAGTGTATTGGTAATATTTTCGTTGTCTGTTAGCGGTGATTGATTGGCTGCACTATTCGGGCTGTAATTTTGGTCATCACTTACAACAGTTTTATTTCCATTCAAGATTTCCTTCCCAATAGTAGACCATAATATAGGTTTGGGAGCAGGAACAGGCATTGGGATCGGTTTTTGTGAACTATTGTCCCCTTCTATCTCTTCAAATTTGTCGTGGAGCCACTTTTTCGGTTTAATTTCAGAACGAGATGATCGTGGTGAAGGAGAAGTGCGGCGAGATCGACGATCACGTTGGTAACCTGAAATAAAATGTTTATAAGATGTCATAAATGTAGAAACAATGAAAATTGTAACTAATGTCAATTTCTCCTCAGTATACTAAATTTACATATTAATTAACAGATTGCAAAGGCAAGTATTCTAAACAACGCTAAACTACAGCACCGGCGTACGAATCGTTCTATCATATTAAAAGGCATAACCAAAGTTTAGAAATTTAAATTTACCTAGCATTACTAAGTTTACCGTCATAACTTGGTGGACAGTAGTCGATTCAAAAGGAGTAAGATAATTATTACGAAATTCCCATAACTAGAATCACAACACTATATGTAGTAGAATTAATCAGTAAATGTCATAACTTGTGGCCTGTGTGCCCTGTTAATGTATAGCGTAATGATACTTCCAATTAGAGAGCAGTGAATTATCGACCGGACCTAGGACGCGTAAAACCCGTGAGAGCAGTCTAGAGTCCTTATCAGTCCTGCTTCCTGCCTAGCCCAGCCAGTTAAGTCCAGAACATCAATCTCAGCCTCTGCAATATGAATCAATTATTTCAAACATACTCAGTTTATATACCAACCAGACAGGCCACATCGTACCACTAAAATAGGAAAAAACATTTGTACAAGATTTGGACAAATGTGGCTATCAATGAGCGAGGTAGAAATTAGTAGACAGGGCATAACTCAAGAATGGTAAAATGTGTAATAATAGTTCATAGGTAAAAATAAGGCTCATAATAAAAGGGATATGAATAGTTTAGTTATTTAACAATTATACGATAAAAATATACGAATAGTATTGGTCCATAAATGGATCCCAAAAGCTACCATTCATTATGCTTATCAGAACATAACAGTGAAGTGGGATATACTTCCGTGCTTGTAACCTGTGGCAACGGCTAGGTGTTTAGATGCACCAAGGAAAAGTGTATGCTAGAAATCCTATAATTTATTTTTCAAAGTTTCAATGATTTTCGCTAGCTCTGATTCTTCTAATTCGTATCATCTGGATATTACTGAGGCTAATAGTTCGGTGGTAGGCATGCATTTAATTTAATCGTTTATCCTTTTTTTGATGCATTATTATTATCTCATGTAATTTAAGTGAAATACAGTACTCATTCTACTGCCTTATTGAATGCTCATTAAAAATATATGCATGTAAAAAACACTTATTGGGCGACTGTGTATAAACGAAACTTACTAGAAGAGTATAAACGATCGGATTTATTATTCCATCGGCGCCTCGGACCATACCCATCATCTGTTCGATCATCATGCTTCATTTAAAAAAAAACGTTCAAGTTAATTGTCCATTTTAAGTTTAATTTAATGAAGACATTACATTACTATTACCAGACTACTATCTTTATTAGAAAAAAATCTAAAAGGGATTCTATGACACAAAAATGATACATAGGGAAAGCATGCACTACAGCTCATAGCCTCGCTACAGAAGAGGCTATTTCGAGATGACTTTTTCTCACTTCATTGTGAACAATTTACATTCCTTCTAGAACCTAATTGTAGAAACAGTGAAAAAATATCAGAGTACAACAGTCAGTCAGCTACAACGTAGGACCAGGCACATATATGCATCGGTCCAGGTTGCCATATCTCGTTAGCACAGCAAGATGAACACCGGATTCATAGGAGTGGTTAGGTTAAAGGTGGTAATATATAGGAGAAAGATTGCATATAAGGATACAGTACCGGAATAAAGAATTAGTTCGTAGAAAGAAAGAAATGAAGTGATTTTAATCTCTTAGTTCAAGGGAAGACAGGGAGTGTATGCACCGACGCCATTGTGATCGATTCTGAGGCATGTCACTTCACTATTACGTACCCGGTGATCCCAACAGACGCTAGCAATATTTGTAAGACATCTGTGGTCAAATACTAGTAGCTTACGAGTATCTTCTACTCTTGGTGGCCATGTTTCGCTGCCGTAAATTAGAACAGAACGAACTGCCGCGCAGTATACTCATCCTCTGTTTGATAGACGGATATCTCGCCTTTGCCATAGGTGACGTAAGTTGGCGAAAGCCAAACGAGCTTTTCGAATCCGTGCAGAGACTTCGTCAGACACCGACCCATTAGGGTTGATCAGACTTCCAAGGTAAGTGAAGTTGTCAACGCGTTCGACTACTTCACTCCCTATTCTTAGTTCAGGTGTTGACGCAGACCAATCCTGAAGCAACAACTTGCATTTAGAGGGAGAGAAGCGCATTCCAAACATTCTGGCGTTGTTGCTCAGTGCTACCAAAAGACTCTGCATTTTATCAGCGTCTTCACCAAACAGGACTATGTCATCTGCGTATTCTAAGTCGATAAGTGGACCTCTTGGCAAGAGATCAATACCCGAGAATTCAGCCGACGAGAATGTTATTTCCATCAATAGGTCTATGACGAAGTTAAACAAAAGTGGAGAAAGTGGACAGCCTTGATGGACATCACTTGAGGTTGCAAAAGCAGATGACAGTTCGCCATAATCTCTGACTCGACTAGTAGTGTTCGAGTAAAGAGCCTTTACAAGATTTATGTACTTCTGAGTTACGCCTTTCAATGACAGACACTTCCACAGAATCTCGCGGTCTACCGAGTCAAATGCTGCTTTTAAGTCAAGAAAGACCACCATTGTCGGACGTCGATAAGTATGCCTGTGTTCTAGAACCTGACGAATGGTGAATATGTGGTCGATGCAGCCACGACCAGGTCTAAAGCCAGCTTGGTTCTCTCGTGTTTACAGTTCACGAGTCTTAGTTAGGCGTTTGATAATTATCGAGGCTAGTATTATAGATACTATATTAGCTAAACTAATCCCTCTATGGTTGTCATAGGATGATTTTGACCTTTATATATTGGGACGATAACTGAATGTGACCAGTCAGATGGGATGACATCCAACTCCCAGATCTTAGCCCATCACAGCTCACGGTCGTTCCTTAGACTTTTGCTTAACCTAGATCTGATTTTCTTTCGCTCATCTTCGTGTTCAGAGCCTGATGGAACGAGTTTACGAGAATCCATTTGTGCAATAGACCTAGAAGAAATTCATTGGTTTTTTGTAACCCCGTGTTTCAAATCACTAATAGATGTCACCGCTGTTTCCACAGCTGTTTGTATATCTTTCCAAGCAGCATCTGGGTCAGCCTCATTTTCTAAACTACCTAAGTATGACCTCAGTTGTTCCTAGAATTTATTTTCGGCTTTCTCATCATTTAATTCAATTTTAATAGGTCTTCTTGGTGTGCCCGTATAAGAGCATGATCAGAGTCCAAACAGGTATTCCAGAACGAGCGACAATCTTCTATCGATGCTCTCCAACGATGACTGATGACAATATGATCTGTTTGAGTCCATCGTTGGTTTGGTGCAGGGGGTCGCCATATTAGACGATGTCTCTCCTTATGTTTAAAATTCGTGTTTGCTAAAAATAAGCCATTGTTTGAAGACAAATGCAGCAGACGATCACCATTATCTGTTCGCTGAGCCGGGATACCAAAATACTCACCAAAATGCCTTTCTGTTTGGTTTAAGCTACCTACTTGGACATTAAAGTCACCTGCTACGAGTACTATGTCTAAGCGTTTAGCCTTCTGAAGTTCAGAGAGCTTTCTGTAAAATTCATCTTTCACTTCATCCGAGCTGCAGTCAGTGGGAGCTTAGGCAGAAACGACAAAAAGGCAACGGCGTGTGTCCCTATCCTTCCGAGTTCTTAATGAGCCTTTTAGTCAAACAGCGCATAGACGTCTGTTAACGGGGATCCATCCTAATAGTAGAGTACAACATGTATGTAATTATATATGTCGTTGACTTCAAAAGTGCTGAGGCGATCAAGACTTAATGATATTTAAGAAGCGCTTTCAAAAGCTTCAGAAAAATCGTTGTCTTAGTATATCTACCTATCCTGAAAAGAATTTTGAATTAAAAAAGTATGAGGTAATACAACTAGGATAGCTGACTACTTGTTATTCATATAGGTAAAAATGAAGACTGTTATGATCTGCATGAATATAACAAATCGTTTCTTTTTACTTACACAGAACTTGATATGAAAGATACTTATTAAGTAGAACTGTTGGTAAAGTCGGTTGACTAAACAAGAAATTCTCTAAAAACATAGTTTGAGTTTGCTTTCTCCGCTGATAATAACGAATAAGGTTTGAACCACATAATCGAATTCCGATTTATTCAATAAGTGAATCAAAGGACAGATAAACAAATACTAGTATTTGGTTGCAGTTTTCAAACATAAAGATTATTTCACAGAAATCACGAACCGATTCAAGTGAGAGAGTCATTGAAAGCCTATTAACACTGGACGACTGTTCTCCTAGTACGGGACTTCTCAGTAATGAGCACCCACAACCGGAAATTGAACACAGGACTCGTGCGGGAACGTCTAACGTTTAGACCACTGAGCCGGCAATCTACGGTGTACAACTCTGACTTCAACCATTTCTACGGTGGTGCGCGACATCAGTTGTGATTTTAATGAAATCCAACATCTCCCACAACCTATACTGATAAAGATTATTAAGAGACAACGAAAGGTCGAACAACAAATTCAGCAGAAAAATTCATCACAGCTTTTCTTTAGGGATGGGAAAATTAAACTGTTCGTTTCATTCAATCGGTTTCTAATAAGTGAGTTGCTCAATTCGATTCGCTTGTCTGACAGATCGTAGAAGACTTAAGATGGTTCGTTTTGGGATATGCTGTTTGAGGGGTGTTGAATGTGTAGATATGTCGCTTTATATGTTTTTTTCTTGCCATATAAGACTGTTCGCTTAAGATTTATTTACCTTCTTACGCCATCAATTCCTTAATGTGCTCGAATGTTGATTTGCTACTACCTAATTACACTTCAGGAAAAACTAGGTTATCTACAGAATCAACGAATTAAAGCTGAAGATATTTTAACGTAAGACCTAAAAATTGAAAAATATTTAATTAACAAAACAAATGATAGACAGTGGAAACTCACAAGATAATAAGAATGTCCTTTCGGAGTTTCTGAAGGATCCAACGGATAAGCTTTTGGAAAAAAAATATTTTAATATTCATACATATATATGTATATACAAGATTTTGGCGGCTAATAGTGTTCACAACAATTACGCGGTGATTCGCATTTTCAAAAACAGAAAATTTATACTTGAATATATCTTAATTACATTTGAAGGAATGTGTAACTCATCTAACAAGTGAAGACATGTAACTGAGTTTGGGCCACACTACTTTTATCAGTCATAGTCAACGTGGAGTCTGGGTAATGTGTGCATTAACTTAAGTTTCCATATCAAATAAGCACGAGACGAGTCGCAGATGAGTCAAAATAATGTTACTTATGTGATGCCTAATAAAATGAAATTGCTTCCGAAAAAAGGGTGAATCAGTTTGTAACCTGGTCGTTGGAATTGCTTAAATATCAAGCCATCGCTTTTACGGACTAAATTAAAGTTGTTCTGGAGCTTGCATGGATACTGAGATAATAGCTTATTTAAGAAGATTTTAAATGACTAGTTCTCAACTATCTTATGGATAATTTGCCACACAAAGAAATTCAATCCCAACATTTAAGATGAGATTTGATGCGACAAACGATAATGGTTGTCAGAAGATTATTCAGGCATAGCTCCAAAGAGATCACGCCAATGACAAAAGAATATAAAACTGGAAATAATTGAATGCAATTTCATAACAAACCACTTTGTTTTCTATAAAGACATGACCTTTAATAAGGAAAAAGGAAAAAAATTTATAAACAGTGTTGAGCATACAGCGATCAACAATAAGTACGTTTCACTGTTATATTAAGAAATTGTGTTAATCACTGAGGAATATCTAGCTCATTGTACAGCAATCCTGATGCATTCGGGGAATGAATAGATCAAAATGCACAACAGGAATATCCAGTGAGTATATATGGCAATGTTATTTTGTGCACTTAATCTCATAACCATGAACTTCCATGTACCGCTTTGACTGCTGCTTGAATATCTATCATACTGCATTAAATCTGCACAATGTATTTACTCGATTACAAGTTTACCTCATACATTAAATTTACTGATATCCCAAATTTAATTAATAAAGGGACCAAATAGTACAAAATTTCCAATTCAATTCATTATCGTAATGCATAGTGGTCTTGGCATTCTGAATACAAAGTTAATACTACTACAATTCATCTCACTGAATACATACACTTCTGATCATTCTCTAAGTATGAGTGCGTTTACTGATTCAAATTTATAAGTATGAGTGGTACAAAATGTTACTTCCTATACCCAGTTTGTAGAAGAAAACATGCAATGGCGCAGGTACACTCGTTTTTGTTATCCCTTAGATCCTAGGTTTTTAAATTCTTTGTAATTTTTTCCCATTATTTCATTAATTTATATTTTCTCCTCGAATCGTACTTTCAATGATTAATCTTTCTTATTACCACTGATACTGATACTACTTCTACTATTCTGAGATTTGGCCTACCAATTTCATCTCTCTGTGCTAATGAAGTATGACAACTTGAACCGATGTCCACATGAGCCAGGTTCTACACCGTGTTTGACTAACTGACAGGAATATATACCATCAGCTTTAAAACTACTAATGGGAAAGTTGATAAGTGATAAGTTTAAACTAAATCCGCAAAATATTTTATTTGAAATCAATACATGAAAAAGAACTACAAATAATCAGTCAGTTAGTAACAACGTAGAACTTCGTACGTACGTACATCAGTTCGAGTGGCCACATCACGTTAGCACAGAGATCGATTCAAATCCCGTAGTGGTAGAGGTGGCAAGAGTATAAGCAGTAATCGGAAAGTCAGTCAGTCAGCTACAACGTAGGACCAGGCACATATATGCATCGGTCCAGGTTGCCATATCTCGTTAGCACAGCAAGATGAACACCGGATTCATAGGAGTGGTTAGGTTAAAGGTGGTAATATATAGGAGAAAGATTGCATATAAGGATACAGTACCGGAATAAAGAATTAGTTCGTAGAAAGAAAGAAATGAAGTGATTTTAATCTCTTAGTTTAAGGGAAGACAGGGAGTGTATGCACCGACGCCATTGTGATCGATTCTGAGCCATGTCACCAAGAGTCTCCAACCATTGGTTACGAAAGTCAGGCGGACCCCAACCAAGTAGTCTGCATCTACCAACATGGCTCAGACTAGAGGTTAGTGTCTTCAAGCACTGATGCCACGTATTGGTTTGGCCGCCCCTAATTTTCTTCCAACCATTTCTAACACCCGTTAGCATTGCACGACGTGGTAATCGGTGTCCAGACATACGTAACACGTGGCCCAACCATCTCAGTCGATGAAGATTAACAACCTCATCAACTGATTTACCATCATTCCCTAATACCCTACACGTCTAACTTCACTATTACGTACCCGGTGATCCCAACAGACGCTAGCAATATTTGTAAGACATCTGTGGTCAAATACTAGTAGCTTACGAGTATCTTCTACTCTTGGTGGCCATGTTTCGCTGCCGTAAATTAGAACAGAACGAACTGCCGCGCAGTATACTCATCCTCTGTTTGATAGACGGATATCTCGCCTTTGCCATAGGTGACGTAAGTTGGCGAAAGCCAAACGAGCTTTTCGAATCCGTGCAGAGACTTCGTCAGACACCGACCCATTAGGGTTGATCAGACTTCCAAGGTAAGTGAAGTTGTCAACGCGTTCGACTACTTCACTCCCTATTCTTAGTTCAGGTGTTGACGCAGACCAATCCTGAAGCAACAACTTGCATTTAGAGGGAGAGAAGCGCATTCCAAACATTCTGGCGTTGTTGCTCAGTGCTACCAAAAGACTCTGCATTTTATCAGCGTCTTCACCAAACAGGACTATGTCATCTGCGTATTCTAAGTCGATAAGTGGACCTCTTGGCAAGAGATCAATACCCGAGAATTCAGCCGACGAGAATGTTATTTCCATCAATAGGTCTATGACGAAGTTAAACAAAAGTGGAGAAAGTGGACAGCCTTGATGGACATCACTTGAGGTTGCAAAAGCAGATGACAGTTCGCCATAATCTCTGACTCGACTAGTAGTGTTCGAGTAAAGAGCCTTTACAAGATTTATGTACTTCTGAGTTACGCCTTTCAATGACAGACACTTCCACAGAATCTCGCGGTCTACCGAGTCAAATGCTGCTTTTAAGTCAAGAAAGACCACCATTGTCGGACGTCGATAAGTATGCCTGTGTTCTAGAACCTGACGAATGGTGAATATGTGGTCAATGCAGCCACGACCAGGTCTAAAGCCAGCTTGGTTCTCTCGTGTTTACAGTTCACGAGTCTTAGTTAAGCATAATCGGAAATATTAAGGTTTGAAGATGTTATTTAATGAGTATAGTCCAGTGAAATAAATTTGGAAAGAAAATAAGGGACATGGAGAATTCAGAAGATTAGAATTCGCGAAAACACAAAGAGCGGATGCATCTGCACCATTGCAAACGATTTTGAGCCATTTCATTTAGGGTCTCTAACCATCGGTTGTTATAATCTCGCTATCCCCATCCAGGTAGTCTATACCTATTAACATGGGACAGTCCACTTGTCAGTGACTTCATGGATTTGTGCCATGTTTTGGTCTGGCCGCCCTTAGCTTTCTTCCAGCGTACTTCTATACCACTGAACATCGCAGGTTGAGGCAGTCGATCGTTGGGCATACGTAAAACGTGTCCCAGCCATCTCAATTGAAGTTTTACTACGTCATCAATTGATTTGCCATCCTTACCCAGTACCCGTTTCCTAACAACTGCATTACTTACTCGATGGTCCCAGGATATACGAGTAATATTTCGAAGGCACCTATGATCAAATACTAGTAGTCTACGAATATCCTCTACTCTTACCGGCCATGTTTCACTGCCATAAACAGAACGGAACGAACTGCTGCGCAGTAAACCCGTCCTTTGGTTGATAGACGGATATCTCGCCTACGCCATAAATGACGCAAGTTAGCAAAAGCTAGCCGAGCCTTCTGTATCCATGCTGAGATTTCGTCACATACCAGACCACAAGGGCTGATGAGACTTCCAAGATAAGTGAAGCGGTCGACACACTCAATTACTTCACTCCCTATCATTAGTACGGGTGTCAATGCAACCCAATCCTGAAGCAACGTTTTGCATTTCGAGGGGGAGAATCGCATGCTGAACATGCTTGCATTGTTGCTTAGAGTGGTCAGAAGACTGCATTTTTTCAGCGTCTTCACCAAATAAAACTATGTCATCGGCATATTCTAAGTCAACGAGTGAACCTTCCGGTAGAAGTTCAACCCCTGGAAATTTAGATGAGAGTGTTATCTCTAAAAGTACGTCGACCACAAAGTTGAACAAGAATGGGGAGAGTGGACAGCCCTGACGAACACTACTTGAGGTCATCAATTCTGATGACAGTTCGCCATAAGCTCTCACTCTACCAGTTGTGTTCGAGTAGAGAGCCTGTATAAGGTTAATGTACTTATTTGGTACTCCTTTCAGTGACAAACACTGCCATAGAACCTTACGATCAACAGAGTCGAATGCCGCCTTAAGGTCGAGAAATACTACCATTGTGGGGCGTCTGAACATGTGTCTGACCTGACGTAGACTACAAATAATAGTTTGAACTTCTAAAAATTTAATGAAAGTAGTTAACCACTCGATGGGAATCGACTCTTAGTAATTAAAGCAGCAATACTATATAGTACAAATATTCATTTGAATACATAAATGCTAAAATATACGTTCATAATCACAAGTAAATATGATTAAGGTTAAGCCAAATCTATGATGTAAAGAGTAACGCAAGTGGTTGACTGATAGCGTTCAGATTACATGGTTCTTTCTTATGACTTAATGAAAATTAAAAACTAACACTATAGCGATACTTCATGAAACACGGTTTAGTGGGCTGAGAGAATGAAATTTAAAGTAAATGTTTCACAGGATTCAAAACGTTAAAATAAATAAATTACTCACTACGCTTTGAATCCATCAAACGTTCATCTACTCGACTGCCATAAAATCGACCGGGACCTGTAAAATGACTTATGTCGTGATACTCACTTTCTTTTTTGTTGTCCATATTATTGGATCTTCTAATATCACCAAACAGAACAGAATGAAAATAGTTTACATTTTAACTGCCTAACAACAAATTGATAAAAACTGTATGACTATGAATTAAACGAATTGTATTAACAAACTGCTAACTTAGGACAAAGTGGAACTCAAGACGTCTTTTTTTGTATAAGGGGACCTGCTAGAGATGCTTTTTTTAAACATATAAATAGAAAAGTCTCTGTATAATAAAACTCGATTAATTATAACAAGGATTGTTTAAATGTATAGCTTGACTTTTAAAGCTATCATATATAATTAAAAGCGAAAATATACAATAGCTTATCAGGTATATCAGTCATTCACAACCAAACACAAAATACAGTACCCATGAACAAATTACGACACACGAAGCTGCACTATGACCATGTTTATTAGTAAAGCTGATCCGATATGTTTCATACAAAAGTTCTCCTGAATTCTAATCTTTTGAATCCTTCATGTTCCTTTCTTTTTTTCTCTTTCCAAATTTATTTCACTAGATTATACTCCTTGAATAACATCTTCAAACCCTAATCTTTTCGATTACTGCTTATACTTTTACTACTTCTGCCACTACGGGATTTGAACCGACAATTGTATCTGTGTGTTAGTATGGTATGGCAACCCGAACTGATGTACGTATGTACGAAGTTCCACGTTGTAACTGACTGACTGACTGATACAAAGGTTCTGCAGCATTTCAAGATGGCAAAACATTATTTTTACGTTATGTATACAATACAACCAATTGACACGTCTACTGTTATTTGCACAAGTAAAACTTTATTACTGAATGCTGCATAAAATGATATATCGGGATAATGATGAGTAGAATAATAGTTACAACACACCGTGTATTTGAGGAGGAAATCGTGTCCACTAAACGTTTGTAAATCTGAACTTCATCCGCTTCAGTATTGTAAAACTTTAACTGTAAAAGAAAAAATGATTTAACGGTTCAAGATAACTGAAGTTTTTTCCAGTACAATTAGAGAAAAATGACAAAGAAATTGTGTACTACACTAACTTGACCTGCTTATCACGTGGTGGGAGACGATAAATACCATCTAAAATATTTACACGGCAGTTTTAGGAACACTATAAATATTCGCTTTTAAATAGAATAGGAATTCAGGTTCTTAAATAAATACCTAACATCCGGAAGTGAGAGCGGATATATACTAGCCCAAAAACATTTTATGATACACAGATTATAGTTTGAAGATATTTGAGATTCAGCACCGTTACCATATATGTGTATTCTAATAGCTATAATGAGCAATAAACAAACCAGAATAGTTAGATACTGTATGCTGTATATGCACTACAGTATTAGTATAAATTAAAATTGTTTCTTTCTTTGAAGAGTTTTGGCAGCCAAAAATCGACTAAAAAAGATAAACAAGAGTGGTCGACGCTGGAAACCAGTTTCCGCGTTGTTGTTCAACTAATCAGTGACACAAACCATTTCTGAAAGAGCTTCGCATTTGATTGTAAACTGTTTACATATTTTAATCCCCGTATGCAAAATGTTGAGAAACCTGTCTTTCCTTATGGAGTCTGAATACTCTAAGACAATAAAGATTTCTGAACAGGATTCCACATCCAGGAAACCGTAACTATCACCTCTCGAACCATATTAATAACGGAATCGGACACGAACTGAGAAAGAACACCTTCTGGATGTTCCTTCCAACGAAAACCTGTGATTCACTGATAATACTTCGGTTTTCGCATGGGGCGCCTTCAGTGACATTATGTATTCGCAGATTTATATTTTTAACATCGAACACCAACATGAGATTTTACGACAGACAAGGTTAAGAACTATTCTCCAGATAGCCAAATAATAAGTTTGTGTTTAGGGATCTATAGAAGTTTGATTTGTACTACATACCCATACATATATAAGCTTATATCAGTTGACTGTTAGAAATAAAGAAACCCCCATAAAATCTGGTTAGCAGTACTCATATTCAAAAATATGTTTGTATTTAAACACAGCAGGCGAAAAGATGAAAAACCAATACGTGGTTTTCACATCATGTAAATAAATTTTAAATTTAAAAACAACCTTGTTAAACTAGAACAGTTCTGATATAACTGATAAAATCCTAACACAAAAAGTAGTTTCGATTGATTTCAAAAAACGTAATTGAAGTTTGAGTAATTTCACCTGGTAAGCAAAGAATTAGTTGTACGAAGTATTCAGAATCTCCACTACACTATATGGAACAATCAGCAAAGATGAGGCTACCATTATATATATATATATATATATATATACTTTTATTTAAAATAACTTTTCGCAACAAACTGCATTATGGCTGAAAAGATTTTTGACACTAAGTATTTTTAACGTGTTTGTATTATATATATGATTATCTTTATTTTAAGGTGGCATAAATAGCACATCAAAAAATGTTTGTTTATGTGTTGTGTACGCTTTTTCCTAAGTTAAACAAAGCTCACCCTGAAAACCAGTTTTATTTACCCATTTTTGAATAAGATAACGCACCACTGAATTACAATTTGTCGCTTTGTAATAGTCGTATCAAATTCGTTCTTGTATTATTAACATCTCACAAATTCTTAACACAGACACAAAGCAACAAAAGTTGACATGAGGTTATAATAACTGAATTAGCTCTAATCAACAATGACTGTGAAATCTCTATAGACAATAACTGCCCCCAAATGCCATGGTACGGCCGAGAGTGGGGAGAGTCCGCTCTCCCTCTCGAAATGCTCTCACATGGCCACGCGTATATAGCCTCTGCCAGGGAAGTCCTACTCACTGCCTTCTCGTGGCGGGGGTGTTGTTTACGAAAATGAGAGGACGAAAAGCGAATGGCCGGCGCTTTAACCGGATTTCAAACCAATGGTGCACATGGGCTCCAGTATCCTGCGGGAACAAATGGCGAATGAACCAATTGTTGGTCACCGGCTTCCATGGGACGGCATCTCCTTACGATGCTCCACTGCCTTGTGGATCAGACCTTCAGGTCGAAGGCTCGGGGTGTGGCCCCCTAAGAAAACCACCTGCTTCGGTTTGGGCACCCGGGCAGTATCACAGCCCTCACACATATCAAATGAGATTTGTGTGGCGCATATGTATTTGGTGCCTCCTTGTACCAATATCTATGTGTTGAAATAAATAAATAAATAGACAATAACTGGTTGAGCGAACCCTCGGGTTATGCATCAGATGCTTACAGATTTTACAATGTTTTTACTTATTCATTATATAACGAACCAGTGATGTAGAAAGAATAGGGAACATGAATAGCTAAGTGGTAAAATGTGACTGTGTTGATATATCAGGTAAAACTAAATATCTAAGAATGTTTGAGATCCCATAAAAAATGTCAACGAGAATGAGACAGCATGGCAACATTTTGTCGGTCGCTTTTAATAATATGACACGAAATTAAATATATACTACAATGGTATTAAAGCATCTTACTTATGATAACATAAAGCAATCTAACAAAACACTTACTCCAGGACGATCGAACACAGGTTTGTAACCTTCATTGGGACGACGTGGGATTACAATGTGACTATGACGAAAATCAAATGTCACAGGTTTCTCATGTGTTGATAAGTCCATATCTATCAAGAATAAAATATTTTTAAAAATAGCCAACTATTATTGAAATAATAAATACATACTTGTGAAATAAAACCAAATTTGTTAAGGAGTCAGAAGAATATTAATAGTTTAAAAACAAACTGCTAAGCAATTTACGGCAATAAATAGTGATCTTGAGTGCTGTCAGAAGTATGAGGGTAGTTATCACTTCCCAATTGTGCACACCATGGAAGGGTTCTTCTAGAGGTACCCAAAAATGAAATTGGGTTAGTGTTGGTCTTAGTGACCTGATAGAGTGACCGCAGTGCCCAAGAGACAAGTGCTAGAGATCGGTCACACACGACCATTTTGTAGGTAACTTTTGTGTTAGCTCCATACATGTTGAGAACTTACTTCCGGAGACGGATACATATAAGATAAAATGAGGTGTGCATTTTTAAAGTCAACCTTTTCTAATCCCATCCTTCCTTTGTGGGAGTGCAGCATCGCTATTATGCTGGTTGTGTGGAGGAAACATCATACTGCTAGCACACCTCTGTACAGTCAACAGTAAAACTTCGCCCTCAGACCTTGGTTTTGCTGCCTTTAGTCTTACCGCTCTTCAACCGACCTGTCTAGCATGGTAGGACCTTGAGAAACGATTGTTCCAAGCAATATAGCTCGATTGGTTTATCACAATAGGGAAGCCTGATCGCCACGTCAAGGTAGCAGTAACGGTCGGATGGCAATAACTAATACTGTTAATGATTCAATGTGCCATTGTAACTTCAAAGATTATAAATTTATGTTTAATAATAATAATAATAATAGTAATAATAATAATAATAATAATAATAATAATAATAATAATAATAATAATAATAATAAAGCATAGATTACATGTTCGTTGCATTAAATTAAATCAAACAAATAACGTGGTAGGAGCAGTAGTAATTCTGGTGAAAAATGACTTAGTCATCTAGTTGCATAATCTGTAAATCCATGGATTGTGTATAAATATGTTCTCTCTCTGTGTCTGGAAATTTCAATCGTGCATAGCATGTCATGTTACTAGAAATCGATTAAGTTATCAACCGATAGACTCTTAAAACAATGAAACATTTTCATCAATCAGATTTGTGCATTGGGAATAACATAATTTGTGTTGCTTAGGGAGGACGTAGTGATGTGGAGATCTGTTAATAAAATATTACAGATCATTTGTAATCTGTAAAACTTTTTCCGCCCACAGACATTAACAAATAGTATTGAAAGGGAAATTGAAAGTAAAATCAGTTTTCCTGCATCACTGAATAGATAGAAGAGCTCGAAATCAATTAGTTTTCTTTTAGAATACTAATAAATGGAACAAGTCAGTCAGTCAAACACAGAGTAGAACCTGGCTCATGTGTACTCCGGTTCAAGTTGTCATACTTCATTAGCAAGAAGATGCGCTCATATGTTAACCACAAAGAATGGATGCACCTGAGTCGTTCCAAACGATTTTGAGTCGTCATTCAAAGTTTCTAACCACTGGTTAAGATAATCACGTGGACCCTAATCAGGTAGTCTACACTTATTTACATGACCAAGTACAATTGTCAGTGATTTCATGGACTAGTGCCATGTTTTGGTTTGACCGTGCCTACCTTTCTTCCAGCCTGAGCCTGCACCAGAAAACATCGCCCGTCGAGGTAGACGGTGGTGGGATATACGTAACACTTCTCAACCACCTCAGTTAATGAGGATGTGCTACTTCTTCAATCAATCTATCATCCTTACCTAGAGCCCTTTTCCTAACCCCGGCATCTCTTAATCCGTGGATCCGAAATACCTTAGTAATCTTTTGTAGTCACCTATTATCGAATACCAGTAACCTACGTATACCATTTACTCTTAATGATCACGTTTCACATCCATAAAGTAGAACAGAGTGAACTGCTGCGCATGAAATCCGTCTTTTGTTTGGACGACGGATTTCTCGCCTAAGTCACAAGTTAGCAAAAGTCAACTGAGACTTCCAATATAAGTGAAGCGGTCGATGCGTTCAAATACTTCACTCTCTAATAATACTACCTGACCGATTAAACCTCAGTAACACATGAGTTACGGATTATATGTCTGGACAAGTGTTTTACAGATTCATCATCGAATTTTAAGTAGGGAAATCTTCACAATAAAAGATTATATTCTTTATTTTGAAGTAAGGTTAATGTATTAGATGAAGAAAGTTATTAACAGGATTTTGCTACATTTTCATTTTCTCAAAATTCTGAATCGATCGGATGAAAACTCTATTATTACGAAAAAATCCGTCAAAAACAATTTCTAGTCATATAGTTGATATCAGGAGACAAAAACTTACTAAGAGGAAATGTTCGCTCTATGACAATTGAAATTTCTTTAGCCTGACGCATAAGAGTTGCTGGGGGGAGCTTTGTATTATTGGTAAGTATAAGATGTGGAAGACGATGGTTATCTCCAAAACGACCATACCTGCGTTTATTGTATACAGCCGTCCCTGAATTTGTCAGACGAGTGAAACGTTCTGTTAAAGGTATAGGAGAATGTGAATCACGTGCAGTGCTTCGTACACCTTCAGTCTGAAAGTCAGCGACTGGATTAACACTTGATTGTATTTCAGGTTTTCTAAGCCTTGAAAACTTCGACTCTAAAGAAAATAATGAGATAGACCTAGTAAATGTTAAGTTCTTACTTCGCTCAACAGGACTTAAAGAACGTCGAGGACTGTAGTCAAGATTTTTTGAATGTGACCTCTGTCGATTTCTGAAAGATATGAAAACGGTGGATAAAATAATGAGTAACTTTGGGGTTAAAAAATGCTGAATCTACATACATTAAACTACTTCATTTTACTTAACTATCACTTTTTTCAATGATGACTCCATTTTCATAATTTTCTGGAAATAAGTATGGAAAATTTATTTTCGGATGTAAATTAAGGTCTGCATCAATCAACAAGCGGTGATACTAATAGGTTGTTTAGATTTAAATAAAGGTTGAGTTTGGGCCTAAATCCATGCGAAAGGTAAACTAATGTCTATATTATGTTTATACAAATAAGAACGAATTCGCCAGAAAAAATCAAGAAACAGCATATGGTTTATCTAGAATGAATATCAGTAGTTAACGAAAATAAATTGGCTGATACACTACAAAAATGATAATTGTTTTTCTAGATAAAAAGCTTTAAAATGAAGTGAGTTCACAGACACTGAACGAGAAAAGGGAGAGAAACAGCTATGAGTAGAACGATAAATTAGCACACGAAAACAGAGTGACAAATGAATATAATAGAGGATCTGTCTGAACTAAGGGACACGATTCAGCGCGTTATACATCTCACACTACTTATAAATACTAGGTACCCTGTCCCAAAATGGAGAAAACCATACAAACAAAAAATATTTCAAACCAATAAGTAGATTGAATACACTATTGATGCAAAAAGTCAGGTTATTTAGCGAACACATACCTTTCTTTCAACGAAGAACTGAACTTAGAGCGTTCATTGGATCTAAAACGAAATAACGATTATGTTTTGTAATAGTTAAGCATTATTAATAAAATGCCAATTTTAATAGAATTAGTTTTCATAAAAATCAAATTTTGATAATGTTATTCTTACAAATATGTATGTGTGATGTATGCTACTTATGTCGTGGGTGTGAGACGTGACTCTTAAAAATAGACAATATTAGTAGGTTATTGGTATTTGACCACAGTTGGTTTTGAAGCAGTGCTCGCGCATGTTAGGACTATGGATGAACTGATGTTAAGTAAAAATGGCAAGTCGGTTGATAGGGTTTTGAACTTTCATTAAGTGAGGTGGATGAGACATGTGTTACATATTCCTAGAGATCGACCGCATCGATGGGCACTGTTGTATTATTATTATTATTATTATTATTATTATTATTATTATTATTATTATTATTATTATTTGAACACATGAATATTGGTACAAGAGAGCACCAATATATATGCGCCACACAAAACAATGAGAATTCGAAGAGAGATAGAAAGAAACTAAGGAGCGCAAAAGAAAAAGAGAACAATAACGAAGAGATTGGTGTGAGGTAGTGTGGTAGTAACGAGGGAACGGAAAGGTACAATCCGAAGAAATCTTTCAGGTAAGGGAGACACAACCACTTTTTATGAAGATATGATCAATACATCCTCGACCAGAACGAAACCCAGCCTGCTCCTCGCGAGTCAATCTTTCTCGGGTTTTGAACAACCTACGAAGTATGACGGAAGCCAATAGCTTGGACGCAATCGGAAGTAGACTTACCCCCCGATAGTTTTCACAGGAACGACGTGAACCCTTTTTAAAGATAGGGACAACTATCGACTCATTCCATGACGTTGGTACACTCTCTAGTTCCCTAACCTTTGTAAACAACGTCAATTCCTTAGTCAAAAAGTCACCACCATCTTTAAAAAGAGCCGGAGGTAAGTCATCTGGGCCAGGTGATTTGTAACGCTTCAAGAGTTGGAGTTCCTTGCGGACCTCCTCCTCGTTTGGTGGATCAGTCGTCACCGGCCATGGAGGGCAGGACAGTCTGACCGATGTTGCTGGAGCGACAGGCCAGTTGAACTGTCCTTCGAAAAATTCCGCCCATCGTCCAAGACGTCGATGGATGTTAGTGACTGGCATCCCATCATCCTCGCAGATTGTTTCACTCACAACAGACTTCTTGCTGCTAGTGGCTCGGATGAGTTGGAAGAGCTTCCGGTAGTTACTAGATGCAACTGCTGCTTCCAGCTCATTAGCACGCTTCGACCACCAGGCTTCTCGGTCCTTACGCAAGCTTTGCCCAATTTCCTTACGTAACATCCTTCGTTTATGGTCAAACTCACGGTCACCCGGAGTAGACCGACGGGCTTCAATGAGTTGTAAGGAACCTGCAGAAACCCAGTGCTTATAAGCGGGACGTTTCGCAAACCCACAACTGACTGTTCCCGCCATTTTCATGGCGTCATGCAATTGCAACCAATTCTCATCTATACTTTTCGGTGGAGTGGTAGCTAGCCTAGAGGCTAGCTCGGTTCGATACGTACTAGCAACAGAAGTTGCAACCAGCTTGCTAATATCAATCCTTTGCTGGCGGTCACTTCGTTGGCGCAGACCAAGGCATGGTCAGAGTACAGATAGGTACTCCAAAAGGAGCGGCAGTCTTGTACACAACCACGCCAGCGGTAGCTGATCGCGATGTGATCAATCTTATGTTAATCCTTCAAACATATCTTTTATTTCTTGTTGAACCATATTCCCAGGATCTAATCATTTTAATCAGTGCAACTAAATTATCTTAACTCTTTTACTGTCCGTTATGTTAATTTTATCTCCTTGTGGTATCGTGTTGCGATAACTTGGGTCAACATACATTTTGGCCAGATCGTACGTTGATTATGACTGACTGAAAATAAGTTTTATGCATGTAACTAGCGCAAACTAACCATTTTTGGTGAAGATGTATATTGTTAATAAAAATAAGACAGTATATATATATATGTATATGTATATATATATATATATATATATATATATATATATATATATATATATATATATATATATATATATATATATATCAGTAATGAAACGTGGTTCACCAGCAAAAACATAATGTGGAGCCATGACGAAAACGTAATTGAGAAATGCTTCTTTGCCATATTTGTACTTTTTCAAAGAGTATGACAGGAATGTTTGAGAAAGGGATTTCGATGCACAAATTAGAGTTTACAGATCATTTTGTACAGCATGTGATAATAAAATTCAAATTTATTACCTCGATCGTTTAATTTCTATACTAAACGTAAAAGAGTTGGTCATCGGTTTACTGTGAATAAGTTCTCATTACACTAAAAAAATAAAGCGTGACCCAGAAACGCTTGCATGATAGAAAATTTATTAAGTACGCCTAGTTCCTAATGTTATTTATCTATTAACAAAAATAGAGAGAGTTGAGTCAGTTTTATTTCAAACATCTGGAATTTTACTTAATTCCCGGCCTTAACCATCGCGCTAGAAATCTGTCGGGGCGGAAACGGATTTCCACAAAATATACAGTGGAATCATGATTATTTTACGTGCGATCGACTTTAGGACACTTCTTTAAGATAGTAGGTACGTGGTTGAAAAAGTAATTATTAAAGCTATTTATAAAAGCAGTTCAAACGCATTCCATTAGACAATTCTACTTATCCTTATTAAACGAAGCGTAATTACAGTTAGATAAATGTGAACATAATGCGCACCGGATAGAAATAATCAAGAAACTCAAGTAAATCTTACTGACTTACTAACAAAACTCTAGGTGGAAGCTTGTTATAAGCAGTTACAACCCATGATTTAATTAAAAGGATCCAGCAGGAGAAAAAGTAAATAAGAAAATTCTTAACATTTCATTAGCGAAAAATATTACTGACCTGGATCGATTTTTTCGTCTTGGTGTATAGAATCCTGATGACCTGGAACGGGAACGTGATGAGTATGAGCGCTTCCTGTTAATCATTGTTTAAACCTAAGCATCTTCCAGGAAAAAAAGATCTGATCAATTTAGAAAATTAAACAGTGAGAATAACCTGTTATTTAATGACTATGAATTTGATGCTTGTGCTTTGGTTATAATTGAAAATTTACACCATTATTCACATTAATGAGATGTCTAGGGCTTGTAAATTGTATCAAAACACAAATTATTGTTTCATATACCGAGCTTAATGCAAGTGAACATACTGGAAAGACTTTTGCACCGAAAATGCCACTAGATCCTAATGCTTGAAATTAATTGGTACATGATGCATACAAATCTAGAGGGGAACTGAACAGAAATCACAAAATGATTTGGAAGACCTTACCAATAAACTGAACTGTAAAGTTCGAGATACAACACAATAAAGATCTTCGGCGCTTAAGTAATAGCGACAACTGAATAACACACCTCAAAACGCCCTGGTACAGCTGAGTGTGCGGAGAGCTCGCTGTTTTAAAATGCTCTCACATCGCCTCAAGTATATTGCCAGTGAAGTCCTACTCACTGCATTCTCATGGCGTTATTGTCTACGAAAATAAAAGGACAAAAAGCGATTGTCTGGCGCTTTAACTGGCTCGGTGGATACGGAGGATCTACCTAGGGGAGTTGGAAAGCTGATTCCATACCAGTGGGGCACATGGACTCCAAGATCATGGAGGAACAAATGGTGTGCGAACCTATTGTTATTCACCCGTTAAAATGAGGCTACATCTCCTAACGCTGTTCCATTGCTTTGTCGATTAGACCTTTAAGTAAAAAACTCAATGCATGGCGCTTTAAGAGAACTACCAGATTCAGTTTGGTTACTCGGGCAGTATTCCAGCAAATCAAATTATTAGTATTGTAATAATTATTCTTGCTTCAACGCTCATTAGGACAAATCGTATTCACAATCATATGATAACACCCATTTTTCTTTCTTCTATACTACGTCGCTTATCTTCCCCCTTTTGTTTATATTATTTACAACTTATACAGAGGCTCGCCTATAGTGGAAGCCCTGTTTTATCTAAACGATTTCAAGTCACTGACTGATGGAAAGTTGAATGCTAACATCGAATACTGAAACAGTCCATCTAAAACCACGTATACCATTCAAACTAGGCTCCTTCGACGTTTGCACACTAGTGCAGATCGAACAACAGGTAGGGTTGGTAATGTCTTTAAGAAGTCTCAACATAGATGTCTGTTGTCTATCCGAGAACCGTATTCAAGACTATAGTGAACTGCAGGAAATTCACTCCCCATTTGTCGCTTCAAAAGGTTTGTTTTACGTGCGTTCATCCGGGGAACCTGTGGCACCTTTGTCTGGTCTTGCTAGAGATAAGGCAACACTGATCGACTAAACCGCATTAACAGTCGGTTATTTGCTGTTAGATTCAGTCAGTCAGTCAGCTACAACGTAGGACCAGGCACATATGTGCATCGGTCCAGGTTGCCATACCGCATCAGCACAACAAAATGAACACCGGATTCATAACAGTGGTTAGGTAAAAGGTGGTAATATATAAGAGAAAGATTGCATATAGATATATAGTACAAGAAGAAAGAATTGGTTCGTAGAAAGAAAGATATGAAGCGATTTTAATCTCTTAGTTTAAGGGAGGACAGGGAGTGTATACACCAACACCATTGTGATCGATTCTGAGCCATGTCACCAAGAGTCTCCAACCATTGATTACGATAGTCACGCGGACCCCAACCAAGTAGTCTGCATCTACCAACATGGCTCAGACTAGAAGTTAATGACTTCAAACACTGATGCCATGTTTTGGTTTGTCCGACCCTAATTTTCTTCCAACCATTTCCAATACCGGATAGCATTGCACGTCGTGGTAATCGGTGTTCAGGCATACGTAACACGTGGCCCAACCATCTCAGTCGATGAAGATTCATAACCTCATCAACTGATTTACCATCCTTTCCTAATACCCTGCGTCTAACCTCACTATTACTTACCCGGTTATCCCAGCAGACGCCAGCAATATTTCTAAGGCATCTGTGGTCAAATATTAATAGCTTACGAGTGTCTTCTACTCTTTGCTGTTAGATTAGAAAGTTCCATTAAAGTGAAGGGATATTGGCGTGAGAAACGACGTCTTTTTGCAATCTCCGCCTACGCTCCAAACGATTGAGGTCCAGATGCGATCAAGGATGAGTCTTACCACCAGTTAACTGTTCTTCTAGAGAAAGTACGTTCGACAGATATTGTAGTACCAGTCGGAGACTTGAATGCTTAGATCGGGTGTCTAGGCACAGAAGAGAGTCATCTAGGTAGTTGATGACGACTTGTTGGTCGCAGGTCAGATAACAGTGACTATCTACTGCCACTTTGCGCAGACTATAACCTGTTTCTGGGTAGCAGTAACTACCAGCAAAGTCACCGCCGATGTGACACTTGGTGTCCTCCCTCTGCATCTCAAGCCCGGACTCCGTTTGGTCACATCAACACCAGCTACCGCAGACGTGGATGTCTACAAAACTGTAGTTCCTATGAGTACCTATCTGGACTCTGATCGTCCCCTTATTTGCGCTAATCTTGCCTTAAGTTTCAGTTGCCAATAAATTCATCATCTTAAACCGATCGATAACAGTAAATTGGTTGCAGGTTCTCTTGCGACTAAATATTAAAACGAGCTAGGTTCAACTCTAGCTACCAGCCCACCGAACAGCATAAACGAGTATTGGCTGTTGTTGCATGACGTCATGAAAATGGCAAGTGAAGTCGCCTACAGCTTCGCGAAATGTCCTGCTTATAAGCACTAGGTTTCTACAGGTTCCTTACAACTCACCATCCCTCTACAACTTTGCCATCGATCACATTCTTGAAACAGCTCTGATGACGGTAGATAATAGTGGTGTGGATCTGTTTCCTGGAGAAAATTTTCGACCTTGAATATGAGAATGATATTGCCTTACTGTGTTATAATACCTAAGCCGTGCAATCCACAATTAGTCAGCAGGCAATCAGTGTCCGTAGGTATAGTATGTGCTTTGAGCCTTCCAAGTGCAAAGTAGTTCTACAGGGATGGCAAAACCCTGAACCTGCACTCATGTTGAGTAGTGGGCAGGTAGTAGTCAAGAGGTTTGAGTATTTGGGTAGCTGCATAAGTGCTGGTGGTGGCGTGAGTGCTGAGATCGATTCACGTATAGTGAAAGCCAGAGCGGCTCATGCTAATCTGGGTCATCTTTGGCATCTTCGTGGTGTTAATCTGGCTGTAAAAGGTCGGATCTACAACGCGTTGGTGAGAGCAAGTTTGCTCTATGCTTATGAAACCTGGCCGTTCTGAGTTGGGGATGTTAAACGATTCTCTGTGTTTGACCGTCGTTGTCTCTGAAGGATTGCTGACATCCAGTGGCAACACCATGTTAATAATGCACAGGTTCGGAATCGTGCTTTCAGGCACAGCGACAATAATCCAATTGCTTTCACCATTTTGAAGCATTGACGTCGGTGGCTTGGACATGCCTTACGAATGTCGCCCCAGTAAATCTCACGTCGTGCATTATTTGCCGACACTGGGACTGGTTGGAAATAGAGGAGAGGTGGTCAGTGTATGATATTATGTCATGGTGTGAAAGAAAACTGTACAGGACTGGCTTCTGTTGCTCCTTCACTACTCCCTAGTTGGGGTCCAAGAGATGGTGCAACACGGTGGCTAGAGATGTTATCAGATATGACTCAAAATAGAAACCAGTGGCGATCCTGCTATGGTTTCTACTTTTTTCATAAAAGTGAACGTAACTTCTTTAATTGAAACTCATTTGGTTGTGTTTTTCCTAAATGAACTGCTCCCATTATTATTACTCACTTTCATACACTAGCTTCTGTTCATTTTTGCTCTACTTTTTACCATACTCCTCATTCTCTATCTTTTCACAACCTCATTGTGAATATGTGGCGCATACGTATTTGATGCCTTATTGTACTAATGTTCATGTGTTCAAATAAATAAATGAGATAAACCGCATCATTAGAATCGAAACCAAATTAAAGAATTTGGATAAACTCATCAACCAGGTACTGGGGCATGAATGTCCGGCGCTTTAACCGGATTTCAAACCAATGGTGCACATGGGCTCCAGTATCCTGCGGGAACAAATGGCGAATGAACCAATTGTTGGTCACCGGCTTCCATGAGACGGCATCTCCTTACGATGCTCCACTGCCTTGTGGATCAGACCTTCAGGTCGAAGGCTCGGGGTGTGGCCCCCTAAGAAAACCACCTGCTTCGGTTTGGGCACCCGGGCAGTATCACAGCCCTCACACATATCGAATGAGATTTGTGTGGCGCATATGTATTTGGTGCCTCTTTGTACCATTATCTATGTGTTGAAATAAATAATAAAATAAATAAAGGGGCATGAACTACACTCCAAGTATGGGGGCTAAGGACGCTATCTAACTCCCTAGATCGAAATAGATGGGGTTAGAATCGAACTTCGGACACCTTAACCACTAGGCGACTGCTCTACCATGAAACAAAGTAGCATTCAAATAAAGTTTAGAACACATCAGATTGAAAAACGAAATGATGGGACAAATGCGCCACAAAAATTAGAAAAGACCTAAACCCGGGTATGGTATTTATAGAAAACTATAGACTGAGACATGAATGCTTGCCTAAAATGAATTCCTTTGGCTCAAAGACAGTAACCACACAATCTTGAAATCAGCGATAAAAAGTAATACAAAATGTCCATAAATTAGGCAGTCAACAAAATCTAGTTGGAAGCAAAAATTCGAAAGTCCTTTCAGTAGTACCGAACTTCATAGCTAGTTAACCCGATTTGTTTTAAAATGTATTAGTAATCCTTAAGAAAACATAAATCATCAGACCAATAGCTAGCAAATATCAAACAAATACACCATACATCGTGGTAATGAGGTATTACAAACAAAAGCGAACAACGTATTAAACGTATATATTTACCAAAACATTATTTGAGACATAATGATACCAAATAATAATTTTAAGAAAACTAAGATGACTTCGTGCGTAGGAGGAATGATATGTATTAATTGAATTGAACGAAATTGAAGGAATGCAGTATCACGCAGTCAGAAACGATAATCAGGTTAACAATCTGACTCCAGCCAGCCAAAAATAAATGACTGCTATTAGTAAGCGCTAAGAAGTGGACGGGCGCACTTTTGACTGAGATTTGATGTAGAACAAATATCACAGGGGGTTTCACGACGACTCCTAAGAGTAGAGTTCGATCCACGACAGCTTAACAGTACTGGTGTAGATGGGACTAAACTCCCCAGAAAGGAGGATGATGGTCGACTGTATGAGAAGCAGAGTGGACGAGAACGACCAGCAGCAACAGATGCGCTGCGAACATATACTGACGTTGGATAAGATGGATATTTTTGGACATATTCCGAAACCCACGAGTATTTTGGCTTCCAGTCAATATTGTTATTTGAGCGAGAATATGAAGCACCCAACCCAGATGTTTGCGGCATACTGCTAACTCTAGTTGATTTGTGGAGTGCAGGGACGGGTTTTTCAGTTTTACTTAGTTCAATTGCCTTACTTTTCACAATACACTGTTTTGGCTCACATACTTTGGAGTTTACAGTATTCGCATGCGTAAAATTAATCAGCCTTTCTTTACGGCGAGCCTCAGCACGTATAGCAGAAGGATAAACCTGGCAAAAAAGTAAATAAAATTAGTACTCATAGGTACTTAACATCGGCTATTGTACTTCCTGCTTTTGCTGTCTTGAAGTGGTACAACTATCCAAACTTATACATATTTCATCAAGATTCTACACTACCTAAATCATTTACTGCAAAACAGTAAGTCGGCATGCAAACTGAAGAACATAATGGTAGAATTATAATGACCACATTTTGCACATAAATGACGAGGTAGCAATCCTTGGAAGATTAATTTGCCAACTACTCCCGTGACATTTTAGTATTTGCATAAAGTTTTCCCACCCACGTATACACGGCTGGAAGGCAATACCCAAGATTTACAATGCAACTAATTATTTAAAAATTTAATCCAGAATGAGAAATGGAAAACTCGACAACCGAAACCCGGCACTACAGACGAAGCGCACAATATGTATGACGTTGTTGGTATGACGAACAGCTTAGGGTTTGTAGATGTGAAATTACTTTTCATTTTAGCTCATTGAAGTGTAGTATTTATATAGTTTCTGAATTTGACATTAAGCCAAAAATATCTGCGCAAGTTCACACAAATAAAAAGAAACATAAACTTTTGAATGCATTTGATTTTATGGACCTAATTGTTTATGATCTAGTAGTAGGGTTGGGATAAGATAAACTTGGCAGTAACGACAGCACACCCACAGCCTTTAGGTAGCAATAATGAACCCAGGGATCAAAATGTCCACTTACATCTCGGTCTGACTTGACGTTAAAAGTTTTTCTAGCCCCCAAGGTAGGACCAGGAGAACTTCCGATAGCATAAGGTACAAAAGCTTTGGGCTGTACTATAGACTTTAGATGTGGTTTTTGAGTTTGAGTACCGACATCTGTTCTTTCAGTAGTTGAAACGGCGTCATCCTTTTTATTTACATGTGTAAAATCATGAGGGCCTATAGAGATGTTATGTCAGCAAACTCGCATCCAAACCTTCAACTTCTGCTAAGTTATCTAGGTGGCTATCATTACATGTAATGAAGCAATTCAAGCAATTACCCGTCCTCTGAAACAGAGAGCGTTTTGATCGAAACATCTTTTCTGACGTCTTCGACGTCTTCATGTACACCAAGGTTCGAGGTTGAAGAGCTGAGACATTCCAAATCATCCCATAAAAACGGGTGGTGCGAATATTCTGAATTACGTTTCTGAATTCGGAACTGTAAACGGTCATAATATTCATCTCTACAACTGTTTAAACATGTATACGACTTCCCATATTCGGATAGACGAATCAACGGCTCCCCAGTTGTCATACTCACCGGGTGATTCGTAAGAGCCGCCAAAAATGCACATATTTGTTTCAGTTGTCCGTAACCTTCAAACTTCAAGTTTGGTCGAATAGATAAATAACTCACTTTTACCCATTTTATGTATTGATGTTAGTAGCTTATAAAGAGATGTTTGAAGTAATATCACTTTCAGTATTTCTAAAAACAAAAAGAAGTAGAACATTATTTCAAACTGTTTCAGTTTGGAAAGCACCGAAGGTCAGATCTAATCACGTTTTAAGACAATTATTTCTATTCGTTAATGATTCGATGAGAAAGTCAAATGGTTGAAATGATTGTGGACGGAATAGAAGCTTTCGCTCAATGGGCTTCTGTGTCTAGTAGCTCTGGATCAACAATACCGACAGGCAAGAACATAGGTATATTAACGATAATATAGTGGAAAAAAATGGTAAATCATAGTAAGATATTATTCTTAGTCCTTAAGAATAGGTTTAGTTGCCTCTTAAAGACTCCAGGGAAGTCGCTTGGTCTAGCTCAGCTGGCAGCGAATCCTAGCATTTAACAACTCTTAAGGGTAAAAGCTGTTTCTACAGTCCGTTCTGCTTTTTTATGTCTCTAGTTTCTGAATTTTACCCTTAAGGTTTGCGTTGGAGCTAAACTTAATTAAGTATTTAAGAGGATGTCCAGAAGTGTTTAGGATGTTGTAAACCCTTAGAAATTCACTTTTAAGACGCCTATATTTTAATGGGTAAAGGTTTAGTGATTGAAGGCGCTCTTCATAAGGCTTGAATTTGATTACCCGAACTGAATTCGTGTCTCTCTTTTGAGTACGATCCAGAGCGTCCTTATCCTTTTGGAGTGAGGAAGGAACTACTATGTTTCCGTAATCTAAACGGAGACGGATGAAACTGTTGAAGACTTGGGATACTACTAGACAGGAGTTTCCTAAGTTTTAACTATAGTCTGCGACATGTCGCAGATGGGCTACTTTACACTTTGAAGTGTAGAAGGTAAGTCCGCTATCGTCTGCCTAACTTTGAAGTCGAGTCAGATCCTCCTGAAGTGCCTGTATATACGCTTGCTTGTGTATCTCCAAACTTTCACGTCATCAGCAAAAAGCAATAAGTCTGACGATTCCTGTTGCGGAAGATCATTTATATAAATCAAGAAGAGAAGAGGTCCTAGTATTGAGCCCTGGAGAACCCCATTAGGACATTCCATAGCCTGAGATAAAGTGAAGTTAACCCTGACCTTAAAATGTAGATTTTTCACATATGAAGTGAGTCAATCAATTAGAGGTGGTCTGATATCCAATCGTTTGAGTTTATTGATAAGACATATATGGTTAACCCTATCAAAAGCTTTTGAGAAATCAAAATAAGTGGTATCAACCTTTCCCTTGCGATCAAGGATGCTTGTTCATCTGTCCACCAAAGTGAGCACGTTGGTTATACAAGAATGACTCTTCCTGAAGCCATGCTGTTGTGATGAGAAGAAATTTAAGGACAGTAAATAGTCATGTATACCATCGTATATCAGGGAATCCATGATTTTCGATGGTATAGAGAGGAGAGCCATTGTTCGGTAACTTGAAGGTTTGCTGCGTCGACCTCCTTCAAAAATTGGTGTGATGTGAACCAGCCCCAAAATTTCCGGTAGTTTGCCTCAGCTTAGCGGGTAAGAGAACATCACGCTAAACGGCGTGGCCAGGATTGAGGCTGCTTCCTTCAGCATGGCAGAATGGACATATCTGGCCCAAGATAAGTGTCTTTCCTTAGGCGCCACAGTTTCCGGAACACTAATTCAGAGCTCAAGTTCACTTCGGAACGTCCTGTGCAGTTGCAGTTGAAGTTTTCATTGTTAGAGTTGATGTGGTTCAGTAGAAATGTAGTTAATGGTCAGTCCATTAGGACCTAACAGTTGGGGAACTTCAGTTTTGGCTTGACGAAGAGAGGCTGCATAACGGAATAAGCTTTTCGGATTGGAGACAAATTTATCCATAGGCTCTGTCTGCTATTGAAGCCCATCTTCTCTTATTGCTTTTGTGCATATGTTACTTACATGTTTGCGTTGCGTGTATGTGCCGTTTGTATTCTGCCCAACAGTGCCTTTTGAGGCCTAGCAAACGAAGAGTGTGGTTCTTGATGACTGTAGGTTGCTTGTGGCTTTTAGCGACCATTTGAGGGACAGACTGCTTTATAGCACATAAAATCATGTGCAGTAAGAAGTTCCAATAAGCAACCACATCAAGTTGAGGGTGAATTTCTCAATTCACCTATTGTAGATAGTCCAGTCAAGATGACACATTCAACCATTTGAAATTCCAGCGCTTTTTGTTGGTGGGATGTCTTAGCCAACTTTTCCTTATGAAGCTAGAAGCTATGACAAAGTGATCGCTTCTCTCCAGTAGAGCTATCATTGAGAGGCTGTCAACTAGAAATTCTTAGTTTGTAAATACAGTCTAAGCGCGACGGCGTCTGACTGTTTCTCCAACGAGTTGCGACCTAAAATTTTCGAATAATCGCAGATAGTTAATGAAGTTGAAGAACCGAGCTTCAGTAGAACTTTCACCTTTAATATATCTACGTTCAGTAAAACTGACTTTAGGAAATTTGAAGTCCTCTAGAAGCAGGATATGAGTGAATCTGAGGCGAATAGAGCGGAATAATCTTCGCAGCATGTGATTGTCATACTCGATGTGAGCAGTGGGCCTCCTATAGATGACTATAACTAGACACCTCGAGGAGGTAGATAATCTTACTGAAAACCATACGGATTCATCATGATTGACAAACTCTTAGTTATACAGTTGATGTTCTTCCAAACAAGAATGCATGAAGCTACTTCGCCTCCATCCCTATTTTTCTGTCATTGCGAAACAATGACATCCAGGGTATTGCTATCTTCTGTGTTGTAAACTGAGAAGATATCCATATTTAAGATATTCCTATCAGATGAGTATTATTAGAAGTACTGTGTTCACGCAGCTCATCCATTTTATTCGGTAAGCTTGGGGCATTCATATACAAGCAGTTTATGCTCTCGATTTGAAACGCCTGAGCTTTCTCATCCTGTTAATCCGTATGGGCCGTATGTGATTGGACAGGCAGCTTACCTACATAGAGTTTTCAGAGCTGGTACCCCCTGTCCTTTCCACGGCTTCTCCATGGTATTCGCAGTCCACAAGTAGAACAGTCACTTCCAACTTGCCTTTGTGCTTGGTCCTGGAGTCGTGTGGCCTATCCAGATGCATATGGATTCCAGTTGGTAACCGACATCTATTAGCATGAAAGGCTTTCGGAGTTGCAGCCGTGTTCTAGAATATTTATTCTTCTCGACTAGTCTCATCACTTGTTGAGTCAGCATGTTTGTGAGCTTCAAGGATTGCTTGATGAATCTCCGTTTCCTAATATCAGAGTATGTGTGACCAGTATACGTGTTTTACGGTAAACCTTGCACAATGATATTTCTTCCGCGGAAAATCTCGCGATATTCCTTTGGGATGTTCCAGATGAGAATGCGCTCAGGATACTGGGTGTCAGGCAGTATTCTTACGTTCCCATCAGATTTGAGTAAGTAACTAGCTTGTAGGATATCCTCTACGTCGGTAGTGTGAGTGTTACACGAAATGATTTTGATGCTTAGAGTCCTTTCACCGAGCGAGCTGTGTGACCGCCAGAGGCTCTATTCTGCAAAGTTCAAGCTTCTTGTTTAATTCTTCTCAGAGTGTCCTGTCATGTTTGTCTTGCAAACTGAGGGGAAGGTGAGGGGTGTCTTTAAGGTCCATGATTATGAGAGAATCGTCACGAACCGTTAATGTTTTTTCAGGTTTTCCGGTGTTCAGGTTGAGCATCTTGTTGTCTGGAGGTCTGATTCCTAGGCTCTTTGATGACCAGACGTACATCCTTGCGGGTAGACTGTGCGGTCAATGCACCAGTTGATTTTCGTACAATACATGGGATAATCAGCTTCTTAGGCGGTAACGTCTGGTTCTTTTTACTTTGAGGTCCAATCACTTACAGAATTTTCGGGAACTACCGCGACATATAGGGACCATGTGCTTTGAGACCCAAGTCTGCTGAGGAAGTCGATTACCGTCGATGTTATGATGGAGCTGGGTTTCAGCACGTCATCACTAGTGTTATTGCATGCTCCATCGGTAGTAGACCTATCGACATCCCTATTCCTGTTTTCGTTGAGCGCCCTTGTTTGTCTACCTGTTTTATGACTGTCTTTTTTCAAGTTTGCTGACAACTTGTCCCGCAAACCTGTTAATAGGACAATGGTGTTACTCAGCAAAACTTCAGCATTCGTGTTGCACATGACGCATGCTCACCTATGATACGACTTACTGAGTCTGTTGTAGGCAGTTACTGTGAGGTCTGTGCATGTGTCATGGACCCAACCTTTGCAATTGTCCGACGGCATGTCAGATGTAACAACAAAACGGCATCCAGGTCGCTTACATGAGTTTTTCATGACTATATCGACGTAAACTGTTTTATAGATGATAGCAAAAGCCTAAGACGGTAAAAAAGCAGTACACTAAAAACGGGTGAAAATGGATAAAAACGAGTTAGGATAAACTGAAACTAGCATTTACGTGAAAAACTGAAAAAAATAACCGGATAATAAGCCGAGGCAAAATCGTAGTTAACTATTAAGTTGTGTAAAACTAAAAAAGGTAATCTACCAAACGTATAGTTCAGAAATGGTACTTTTGTTGCGTAAGAACACAGCAAAAGTTTAAGGAATGCAAATCACGTTAGGACTAAAATACCCGTTCGAAAAGCGCCCGCAGTCGATAGTTATCTGACAAGTAATTTTTTCTAGACTTGTCTCGTCATTGCCCAGTGACCTAAATCTCTCTCACACTTTTTTCTTACGGAGAAGAGTGAGAACTTCTTTACTGAACCACTATTGGGAGTTTCTCAAAACTCTTGGTTTAGTCCAAGGAACGTGTGGTGAATAGACTTTCATGTACAAATCCTTAATAAACTCCAAGCCCTTTCATTTGGGGACTCTAGTTCTATCGGTCGATCTACTGAGAATGCTGAGTGTGTAATATATCATATATATTTTCTCCACAAGTTTCGTCTGG